AAAGAATAAATCACTTTTCTTAGAGAACTATGCCGAGAGTGCCACACAAAGTACGAACTCTGTAGCTACAGATGCTTCATATAATTCTGTCGTTTATTATTATTTTGTTTTATTTGTTATTTTATGTTTGAATTCCGTAATGTGGTCATTTTAGAGTGGGTTAGAGTCATTTATAATCATTGTGTGTGTGTGTGTGTGTGTGTGTGTGTGTGTGTGTGCATGCGCGCGTGTATGTTCTTTTTATTTTCTCATTGCTGTCTTAAATTTTTTTAGTTACAGACACGACCCCCAAGATTATAAGTCGAAATAGAACTTGCCAACAGAATGAAACAGTCCGTGAACTGAACCCCTGACTTTAAGAGCGAGAGGCAAACGGTTTAACCACTCAACTACAAACTCGCAATGAAGGTTGAGTGCAACAGATCTCCAGCGTGGGTTTATCTCTCGCTTTGGCTGCACAGTTTAATTAAACCATCACCCATATTCTTCATAGAACATCGCAGACCAACCCCAGAATTTATTGACTATTTGTGGTTTTACTATAACAATTTTTCGTTCAGTAATTTTCCACAGCTTTTAAATGATCGACGTTCAATATTATTGTCGAAGTCATCACAAAGCGGTCTTATGCCAACTCGCCTGCAGCTGAGATGAACCGGGTATTTCGGAGTCACAAACGCCAATTGTAGCGACAAATACGCTCCAACGATAGATACTCACCAAGCTTTGGCCATGGCCAAACTTTAGTTACTACGCTTTGGCAGTATCTGCTTCGTCTATTGCCCGGGTTTTCTATAACCTGTCTTCTGAGGTCTTGTCGGGCATAAATGTAAACTGTTCTGCTGTAACATTTGCCAACTTTTTTTTTAATCCTTCACCAGTCTCGTTACCTAAGTCTCCGCGCTCATCTTGTGCCAGGATAAATTCTAGAACTAAAGATCCTCACGCGCGCCATGGATCGGAAGGTCGTGGGCTCGCTCCCTGGCGGAGCCGAACTTTTCTTCAAAAATGAACTTGGCTCCCAGGTCGACCCTGCCTTGAGTGGATATCGGGTGCAGTCCCAGGAAATAGAAGCGGTCGGCGTGATTCTGACCATAAATTCAAACTGAAATCACCCCTTGCCCACTTCCACCCTTTCTGTTTTTTTTTTTGGAGCTGCAAGCGAAGGCTTCAGACAACATGTAGGATGTCAGTCTGCCATAAACAAATCTCACACTACCCGTTCAATCTTATGAAATACAATTATATTTGGGGACCCTACGGCTAAATTGCATATTAAGTAACTGAAGTAAAGTTGTCCACGATTTCAGACATGTTGAACATATAGGGCGTGACATATTTTACAGACCAATTGACACTGGGTGGGTGATATGGTCTGCATCACGCCGTCCATATTCACTTCCCAGGACTTACAATGCATATTTAATATGATATTGCTACAGGCAGTTTAAATTATCTTCACGTACCCTGCATTCCTAAGTGGGCGTGGTTTCTCGAATTGTCTTTAAACTGACATGCTAGGTTGTGAGCTTGTGATAACATACACTCTACGACTAAAGGTACTCTCTGTGCTGCTATTTTATCACAGTCGACATCGCTGCACATTGGGCATTCCCATGTGTCCCCAGTGCTCCGTTGCAGCAGCCACACCAAGGTATCTTTGGCTGTTCCCACAAGAAGTTTGTTATAATGTCTCCTTTCTTAACCTCGAAGACGGCACCGACGTGCTTCCGCAGGCTTCACTCCCCATTCATGCAATCGTGTTAGCATCAGAGAGTCGTTACCATCTGCTAGTCTAAACCATAGGCCTAAATCCTTAGTGACATCTACTCTGTTCAATTATCTTCTCGCATGCAGTGGGGCCAAACTTGTTTGCTTGCCCGCTCGTTAATTACGTTTCATTCCGACGTGTCCAGGCGTGTGGATTTAAGTGAGTGATGTTGAGAATGACTTTCGAGTGGTGTCTACCCAGAGCTCAGACTGCCTGTTGCGATTTTTAAAAGGATATTTATGCAGTTTTATATGATCCCCACATGTGTGATTGTTTAGTTAGTTAGTTGGGTTATCATCATTGCCCTCCGGACATGTCCATAGGTGCTCAGATCCTCTCCTCAGTATGAACCCCAACGTCCGATGGCTAATAGTACCGGTTCTATGTTGATTAACAAGTCTTCTGGTGTACGTCTTGTTTTTTGCTATGCTGATCTTAATTCCCAAGTCTGCCGTTCTTGCGAGTGATGTGGATTCACTGCTCCCAAAGTCCTATATCCTTCCCATTTCTATGAGGGCATTAATAATATCAGCATGATCCATAGGCTGACCGTCAGTAGTGATAGCAGATCAAGTCAACTTTTCAGCTCTTTGATTTCCATCGACGCCTGCATATCCCGGAACAAAAATAAAGGTGAATCTGCGCACAGTAGAATTCTGTAATGATTTAAGCCATTGTCTTCTCACCGGTTCCGGTTTCAAGATGGAGGGATGTTTTCCTTCAAGCTTGTCTCCAGTCCGTTGATCGGTGGCCTAACAAGCCGCCATCGTAAAACATCCACTGTTACAGAAACAGATTTCTGGCTTTAAACGTCATGTCGTTTCGTTCTAATTTGTTGAATGCCACCGATGTTTTTAAAATTGGATATTGGAACGTTAGAACTATGTACCAGACAGGGAAAACAGCACAAGTGTGTAGTGTTATGAATGATGTTCTGCAGCATGCTAATGCAGAGACTGAAAAAGCCAATAGATGCAAGATTCCGAGAAGAACAAGCAGGATTCAGACCGAATCGGTCATGCGTCGACCATATATTCACACTCAGAACCATCGTAGAAGAGTCAGTAGAGTTTCAATCCCAACTCATCATCAACTTTGTTGATTTTCAGAAGGCCTTTGACAGCATACGCCGCCCTACACTCTGGAAGCTACTCACAATCTATGATTTCCAAGATAAATATGTCAATATTATAAAGGCCTTCTACACCGATTCCCGCTGCCTTGTTAGAACGGAATCTGGTAACTCTGATTGGTTCCCAGTAGAAACAGGCGTGAAACAAGGATGTGTCTTGTCACCGATGCTTTTCGGAATAGCACTCGATTGGGTCATGCGCAAATGCACACAGGACACACATCTAGGCATCAAATGGGTCGACAAAGTTCTCGAAGATCTTGACTTTGCTGACGACCTAGCACTCCTGAGCACAACACATCTAGAAGCTCAGGAAAAAAATGGACCGCCTCCAGAATATTTCAAGCCAAATCGGCCTTCAGGTCAACGCAGCCAAAACGAAAATCATCGATCTTACCAACGAGTCGAAAGACATCAAACTAAAGGATATTGTTCTTGAAAAAATCACCAGCTTCACATACTTAGGGAGCAAGATGACCTCTGCGGGAGATACAACATCAGAAATAACGACTCGAATCGCGTTAGCATCAAGTGCCTTTAACAAACTGTCAAACATTTGGAAGTCAAGATCACTCAGCAACAACACGAAACTTAAGGTCTTCAATTCCTGTGTGATCCCAGTGCTAACTTATGGTTGTGAGAGTTGGAAATCATCAGTATCAATCGATAAGAAACTAGTCGCTTTCGAGAATAGATGCCTCCGAAAGCTATTGAATGTTCACTGGTCGGACTTTAGGTCCAATACATCTATAAGACAGGAAACAAAACAAAAATATGTGTCTGATTTTATTAGAAAGCGTCGCTGGAATTACATCGGCCACGTACTCAGAATGGACATACAGAGACTTCCCCACCAAGCCTTCATATGGTCACCAGAGGGTAAAAGAAAACAGGGAAGACCAAAAGAAACTCTCCGTAGAACCATCACAAGGGAGAGCTCAACCATAGGTCTCAGTCGCATTCAAGACCTACATCAAGTGGCAAAGAACCGACAGACGTGGAAAGCTATGACCTCTGCCCTATGCGCCATCTTTGGCTCAAGAGGAATAACTAACTAACTTCTCACCGAACCTGCCTGAACCCTCCGGATTGAATCACTGAGTATACATACGCGGGTGTAGTTTTGTGTTTCGAGCCAGGCGAACGCTTGCGTCACTGCCATCACTCCATCGTCATGCTTTGTGTGATTGCTTGTTGTTTTGCACATGCAGTGCCCTGAAAGCAGCTGTTATCTCCACGATCATGCTTGCCGCATTTGCCTGGTACGGCCCACTGTCCTCTTGTATTTTACAATGCTGTAACAGGATTTGATCCATCAGGTCTTCTAGAATCGCTCCCCCTGCTGGTCTTACTGCTATGTTTTCATAACTTCCGTCCACTCTTTAACTGCCACCCGTCCTTCGTCCCCATCGGTCTCATTGCTGGCTTTGCAGCAACATAAATAATAAAACTAAAGATACTCACCAAGCTCTATCTGATCCGCCTACTAATGCCTAGGTCTACCAGAAGAACTGTTCAACGCCTGCTTTTCTCTGCTACACATTCAAACTGTTCTGTTTCCGTAACTTTTGTCCACTTTTTAACTCCCTCTCCATCTTCTTTATCATTGGTCTCTCTCTCCAGATTACGCATGCTCATGGCAGCCGGAAGTACTCTATTCAAGATGGTGGATGACTTCTTATTGTAACCATTCCCAAATAAATCGCCGAATGGTCCACCAAAAGATCATGTTACAAGTCGCTGTGTAGTTCTTTTCGGTTTTACAAGCCAAATACTAGTGTTAGTTGATCTTGGCAGTCAGTTTGTAATATAATGCTTCTGCATTCTAGTGATTAGCCGATTGCAAACGTTAGTCATGGAATGTGGAACTGGAAGGTCACAGATTGACTTCGACGAGCGAATGTTAGCAAAACCAGAATTCCATCTGTGCCTAAGTTATGCGAATTGACTTCATGCGGAATAGTTATGTTCTTTCACAGCATTTCCAGACTATTCTAAATTCTGGTTTAGTTCGACAGCTGGATTAATTGAGGATTGTTCCATCCAATTATTTGGTGACATTTTAATCTTTGTTACATCACGCAAACATTTGCAAAAATGAACCCATACAAACGAGAAGTTCGGATACTACTTGTTGGAGACGGTTTGTTATTTTGTTTGTTTCTGTTAAGATAATTAGTTTAATATTATTTTCTGTTTGTTGGCTAGTTCTTGTCTTCATTTGGCAATAATTACCAAATGTTTGCTGTGCCATCTCATTTTTATTACCAATGAAATCTATAACTATAATTACTAAGTTAAATTTATTTTACCCTGTAAAGTAAAAACAGTAATATTACGGGGCATGATTCAGTCTCTACTCTGGCTTAGTTCTTGCAAAATAAAGCAGCTATGCACATTCAGTTGCAGGTTAGTACTTTCAAACTATGGAGTGGTCCTATTAAAAGTGAGAAATGGTAACAATGCTTACAAGGAAGGTTGCATCTAATTATGAGCAGAACCCTTCCGAGAAATCTTGAATAGTTTAGGGAATAGACTTAAATCGCAGCCTGTGAATTTTGATAAGAAAGTTATTTAAAATGTGGAACAGGAAATCAGGGAGGCAATTTTAAATCAATTTCTTAACAAGCAAGCAATGAGGCAGCAGGTGATGATAATATTAGTTATAATATAATATTTCACTGCTGACAAGTAGAAAAATTAGAGTAGACTAATTGAAACAGGCATGCCGCATATAATCATAATGAATAATATACATTAAATATACAATGAAACAGAAAACAAGTCAAAAAGCAACGACGCAACGTCATCTGTAATGCAGTGTTGCTATGGCAACATGCTTTTGGCAAACCAACCACCCATTCGTTTCTTTGAGACAGATCTGATTAAAATCTGTATATCTAATTATTCCGATCATTGAAAGAGTTAACATTTATCTGAGAACTGTAGAAATGGATAGTGAATTCAACTGTATCTAGCATAATTCTATATCCCAGTATATAACTATAATGTAAAACAAAATAACTAGATGAAATTTTTCAAGAATAGTAGAATCTTGTGGTGACTGGTGTTCCCCATGAAAACCTAGCCACATCAATAAATAATCCAAAATTTCTAATATATAAGATGAAATTATTTAAAGGCTTCAAATAGTGTCAGAATGTACTTAATATAATAAAACAATAATAATAAATGTGCACTTTAACGAGGTTAGAGTACGTTGACTATAAAGATGATTCTCGCCAGGTTTCAAAATGGAGGCTGGCGTGCCACTAGAAATTGACTTTCAAATTATGCACTTCTAAAATGTACTGTGAATTAGTCCCGTAAGTAATACTGATGAAACTTTACACACTAATAGATAAATGGATGCTGAATCTAATTATTCTTAGTAAATTTCTATAGTTTGCCATCAAAACCGTTTACTGATATGGTGATCTTACCTATATATTCACAACGGAACAACGAAAACATACAGTCAACCACAGATTTCAGCTTACCATGTGCTCGCAACTGAACATAAAGCCTGTCGTTCGAGCTATTTATAGCTAGGGAAACCCCGTGATTTAGCGTGCTTTTCAAACGAATTTAGGGCACCTCGAATCGCGCCGAAGTTTTCCGTAAGCACATTTTTGCTACATCGGTGACGTCATCATTATTCAAAGGTCACGTGCCGGGGGCGTGTCCGTAGTCGCTAGTTATAGTAATATTTAATAATTACTATTGAAATGCTGAAGGCAACAGATAATAAATGTAAAATTGTAACTAGGGCTGTACCGAATATTTGCTTCGGGGCCGAATAGTGGACCTATTATGTATTCGGCCGAATAGTTGCGGCCGGGCCGAATTCGAATAGTGGTTACATTACACTCGCTTCTGCATACACGGCCTTAATGCTGACAACATGGGATTGGTTTTGTTGAAAGCTAATGCAGCTTTCCTGCATTAATTAAGCTGCCAGTGACAATTTCCAAGTTTAGTTACTTGTTATAATACCTAGGATTCTTTCATTCTTAGTTATTAGTTACCACAGACTGACTGAAGGATGCAAAACATAAAATATTTTTAAATGTTTACTATTCTGTACGAATACTAACTAGACATGGAAAGAATATAAATAAACTCCGGCCACATCCAAGTCGATAATATGAAAATCAAACCAACGGAAACAAATAAGTACTTGGGTGCAAACTTCAACTGCTCAAACATGCTGAGAGAGGAAATACAATCTAGAAACAAAGTATACTATGCCCTTCAACATCTGATAAAGTCAAAGTGTCTGTCTCGCAACACCAAGATCAAAATATATAAAATATTGATAAGACCAGTCGTTTTATATGGCTCTGAAACTTGAAGCAGAAATAAAAGAGATGAGGCCTTATTACAGGTTTTTTAAAACAGTCTTATGACAAATCTTTGGACCCATCAAAGATGCTAACAGCGGGGAATGGAGAGTGAGAAGCCACAACGTAACACATAATCTGTTTAAATCACCATTGATCACTGACATCATGAGAGCTAACAAACTATGGGGCATATTGAAAGAATGTCAGATGACAGAGAAGTAAAACTATACACCTGAGAGAGGAAGGGGTGTAGACCATGAGGCAGACATAAAAGAAGTTCGATTTGGCATCACGAATTGTGAAGAGAAGGCCAGCCAGAGAGGTGAATGGAGACGAGTGATATCTGCAGCAGTAAAACTCAGTAGCTCAGAATGCTAAAGGAGAAAATGACTATTCTGTGTTACGTTTTGTGAAGTAAAAGTTAAGCGTACATTTGACATTATGAATGTTTAAAAAACAAAAATATTTTATACACTATTCGTATTCGGCCGAATAGTTGGTCCCGTTATTTGTATTCGGCCGAATAGTGAAATCACTATTTGTTACAGCCCTTATTGTAACCATAAACACAGAGAAAGATTTGAATAGTATATAGATTTTAATGGATAGATGAACAAATCCAAGAGAAATGGAAGTAAGAAATAATTGTTAAAACCCCAAGGAAAGGTAATCTTATTGACTGTAACAACTGGATACTCTGATAGGAATTAGTCTTCTATTGTTATCAGTAGTATCAATTACTTTGTAAAATAACGCTTTGTAGAATTGAAGCAGTAGTGGACAAAAGCCTGAGAGAGGAGCAGGTAAGTTTTTTGACCTGGAAGAAGCTGCTTAGATCAAATATTCACTCTAAAACGTTGTGGAGGTATTAATTGAAAAACACTTTATTTTGAATTTATAGACTTTAAAAGGGCTTTTCATAGCTTACAGCATCACCGTGGTATACCAATGAAAGTGAAAATTATTAAGTTAGTATATGAAGGTTCAGAGTGGGCAGTGTCAACAGATAATGGTTTAAGTGATTATCGTTTAAAGTTGAAACTGCAGTGAAACAGGGATGTATTTTATCTCCCCTTGTTAGTTGGTATAACTATTGACTAGGTGTTGAAAAGAAATGTTGTGTTAGAAACATTTCCATTGACTGGGTGAACACACAAGATCTCATTTTGCTGACTATATTGTTCTGCTATGTGAAGACACCAAAGACATGTCAAGAAAAACAGATGATATTGCGGGTCTAGCATCAAAGGTTGGACTATAAATAACCTATGAAAAGTCAAAACACATTGAATTCACTGAGAAAAAGACCGAAATGGTTTGGCAACCTAGTAACTATAAACCCAGAAATACTAAGAGTCAGAAGAATACCTAGAACAACGGTTCTCAGCCTGTGGGTCGCGACATTTTAGGGGATCGAACGACCTTTTCATAGGGGTCGCCTAAGACCATAGAAAAACACATATTCACTGAAGTTATGAAGTAGCAAAGAAAATAATGTTATGGTTGGGGTCACCACAACAAAAGGAACTGTGGCATTAGGAAAGTTGAGAACCACTGACCTAGAAGAAGATTGAGTCACTAACAGCTGAAGACCTCACAGTATTACAGCATATCAAGCAACTGCATGTGCCCTAGCTTGGCAACTTATTATATGTTAAAGCAGATATTGACACACAATAAGAAAGAAAATAATTGAGCACTTAGGCCCATCTAATAGCTTTCCTTGTTCTCTTACCAGTTTATTCTTGTGTTGTATAAAAAAAATAGTTCTGCACCTTCAGGCGTATAGGGCTAGACCTATATTTTATAGACCAGTTGGCAATCAGTAGGAAGATATACACTTCCCACTCTACTTCCCAGGACTTTACCTGGAACTCATATAAGGCTGGGTCAACCTAGGAGCCAAGGTCACTTATTGGGGGGGGGGGGGGGGGGGTAGGGTACTGGTCAGGACCTAATGTAAGTGAGCGTCTAGCTCCCTCACAATGGCAGGTCCCTACATGTCAAATAAAGCTAATGTTATAATGAATATAATGGTATCAACTTCAGTTGGGGGAGGGGGGGGGGGACTGATTTTATATATAGTAATTTTATAGCAGCGTCATGGGCCAGTTAAAATTGCTCTGCAGGCATATTTTGGCTAGTAGGGGCATTATTTGCATACCCAAAGTTTAGAAGTCTATCCACTCATGCCAGGTTAAGCTGTCCTTTGCTGCCACATGAAGCTCACCCCATGCCCTTCCTATCTAATTTTACATCAGTCAACTCCATTTATATCTTCAGCTTTGTGAGTTTCAATACAAATTCATTTTAAGTATGTCATCAAGTTTCCCCGGTGTCTCCCCCCCCCCCCCCCCCCCCCCCATTTTTTCCCCCTTCATAATTCACAGAGATTTTATTAGTTCTGTCCCATAGTTCCACATTTGTAGTTCTGTCATCCATTTAATTGCCCGGCACGCTAGCTAAGTTGGTTCAACCAGCTGCGTGATGACTGGGTTACAAACTCCTTGTGGTCCGAGTTCATGCTCTGGGGTAGGAAGAAAAGCCACAGATTTACAGTATCTATCATAAAATCAAGGCCGAAAGGTTGTGGTATAAATAGTACCTAGCCAAAGGGTTTACAACTCATAGTTTCTGGATTTAAAAAAACATCAAATAAGTTCTCTCTATTCTTCATGAACATCAGTTAACTAACTTTTGTAGATTATTAGCAATTGTTAAAAATCATTCACATAGGATGGATAATTGGACAAGGAAATACACAACAGAATAACAAAGGCCAATAACGTAAATTAGCAGTTTGTGTAACTTTTGAGGCATCAGAATGTCAGCATACACACAGAAAGGCAGCTGATAAATGAGCTATTCCTACCAACTTTGTGCTGTCAGTGCCAAACATGGACTGTCCTATAGAAACATAAACACAAAATGACATGTGAGATGAGAAGAAAAAGAAATGCTGTGGGAAAGAAAAAACAAGAAGAGAGTCGCAAATGAAGAGCTTAGAACAATAGTGAGCACAGTACTGACTAGTGAATGATTTATAGAAAATCAAAGAATCGAATGTGTTGGTCATATGGTCAGAATGGAACAAAATCAGCCAGCAATTAGAGAGCGAACTACATGAGAACAGCAGGCTACAAGGCAAGAGGTCCATCAAGAAAGGCATGGATGGAGGGAGTAAAAGAGACTCTACAGAAACACAATAACAGTTTTATTGGCTGAAAACAGAACAGGATCTAAGAGAATGAGTAAAGTAGTTACAAAGACTAAGTAATAAAAATTATTTACTGCAGTTATTAAATGATTATTTGAAATCAGTTTGAAAAATTGCAATGAGAGTCATATTTGCATTCTGTTCCAAACCAGGCACTTGAAGATTATTTGAAACTGCTGTTGTTTTTTATTTTATTTTGAATAATCATATTTTCTTTTTGTTCTGTGTAAATGACTTTTTTTACACTGTATTTTGTTTTTTAACACACAGAAAAAGTCGGGAAAACCTCCCTAATTTTGTCGCTTGTCAGCGAGGAGTTTGCTGAAGAGGTTTGTATACAAGTTTTTAGAATCTCAGACATATCACAGTCATAATACATACTAATGGGCACAGTTTCTTAGCAAAAATTAGTGGGACATGCTCAAACATACATGCACACAACTCAGTCAATGACATAACATGTTTTACGTTTTTAACATCTACTGTTTGTTGAATGTACTTTGAATTAAGCAAGGACAACATTTTGAGGTCAGATTTGCAACAGAGCAAGAAAGTTCTTCAAAATGCGTATGCATTTAATTTGCATATCATCCAGCATTGATGGATGCTTTCTAAATGATTATTACTGATAGAAAATATACATTTTCTCACCATATTTATTTAGATTTGTCTTTGTTAGCATGACAGTTTCTCTGGTGGTTTCTGGGGCCCCATGGGGGGAGGGGGGTGGGGCTAGGAGCTTGACCCTGATGCTACTTTACAAGCATGTTGTAAAAATTGACTGAGAATTTCTAAAATGTCACAGCGAAGTATTAATTAATGTCGTTCATAAAATCAAAAAATCAAACTGGAAAAAGCTTAGTTTCTTATGTGTGTCTTTTAAGGTATCCCTCTGTTTTGCAATGTGGGTTCCAGCATATTGACCTTCTAGTTATAAAATGAAATATTTTATTAATGTTTCCTCAGTGTGTTCAATCCAGCACATCTTGATCCACTGGAAAATTTTGCAAGTGTCTTTAAAACACCATTAGTATCAATAATGTTTTGTGTGTACTATAACAATCATCCTATTCCTTTTTCTAGTAAACAGAAAAAAGTAAACCTTTTAAAATTTTCCATATATTTGAGTACATTCATTTCGTAGCCAGAAAATAATTTTCGCTTTGAGATTTTGGAAGTGTTTCTAGAAATTCCAAAATCTGGAACCCACAGAGTAAAAGAAGTATTTCTGAATGCTATGTCAAGTTGTTGGCACCTTTCTATCTTTCCAGACTAGTGTTATATCATTGTAGGGTGTAGCATGGAAGTCACAGCCCATGGTCATTATGGCCAGGGAGGAAATTCCTCTTTCCTGTAGCACAAAGCCTAGGCATTATTGTAGAGACCATGTGATCCCTACCTTGACCTGCCTTATGCACTCCAAAGGAAAGGTAACACATTTGGATCAAAGCAGACTGCAGAAGGTGCCTATCAGAAGAGCAGTGCTTTCTCTGTATGTCTGTTGAAACTTCTCCATAACTAGTTGTCTACCATTGTTTTCAGATTGCATATCTTCCTGGGATTAGGCTAGTAGTATCTTCCTTAATGCACTCCTCCTCATAAAGCCATTTGCACACTTTAGAATGTATTTTTTGGCATACGCCACCCAACAATTGCCGTTCACATAGAACATGTAGTGCTGACTGCTATTTTATGATATCTTCTCCATGTCATGTCATGAATGCCAGGTTATTTAATCCAGGGATAAAAGTTGCTTTTACCATGTATTGTAAATATGCCTTTTCTGGCCTCTTAATTCCCAGGTCCCTGCTAGAGCAGAAGAAATCACAATTCCAGCAGACGTTACCCCTGAACATGTCCCAACCTGCATCGTTGACTACTCAGGTATGTACTTTAGACCGCTAAACCAAGAGAGATGGCTGACAGCTGTGATACAAACTAGTTATCTCAATTTTGCCTGTCTAAGCATATAGTCTAAGCATATGGTTACACCATGGAAGAAAAAGACTTCTTTGACTCATTGTCGGATGTCATCAGTCAGATACATGCATATGATGATCTTATGGTAATGGGGGACTTAAATGGACACATAGGGTAGAGATCAACACCATGGGAAGAATATCTTGGACCAAACACAGACACCAGCAAAGACTGCAACTTCAATGAGCAGCGTATCTTGGAACTGTGTGCAGAGCATGGGCTTTATATTACCAACAGTTTCTATAAGCATCGCAAGAGCTAAACAAACACCTGATATAAATGGGACAACGCAGACCAGGCCACACAGTTGGACTTCGTACTGAATTGACTAAAGAGGATACAATTGGTAAAAGACGCAAGAGTAATTCGAAACATCACTTTAAATACTGACCATCGACCGCTGGTTGTATATCTAAACGAAGTAGCAATCAGCTAAAGCCCAGTGATACCAGATATTTAAAAATGTAGATAAATATATTTTTAGCAAATTCATAAGCAACCTGTGTAAAATAGTTTTAAAAAAAAAAGATTTTGTTCCGGAATTTTAACTGGGTAATGACCTATTTTATGTGTGTGTTCCAGAGTTAATAAAAAAAAAAACTTGATAAGTATAATTGTAAATGCATCTTTATTATAATACCTGTGTTGGTTTTTTTCACCAACAGGTCAAGACCAAGATGAAAATGCTCTACAAGAAGAGATTCGCAAGGCCAGCGTGGTCTGTATAGTATACTCTGTGATAGATGAAGACTCCATACAAAGGGTGAGTATTCAAACTTGTACACTATATACCAGCTGACTTCAGTAAGTTAGATGTAAGCATAATCACTTTTTAAATGGTTATCTGTCTGTGATTTCTCTATACTTCTCATCTGTACTTGTATTGTTACTCTGTGCCATATTACTACTTTACCTTCTCTGCTGGGTAGTATTAGGTAGTCCAGAAAATTACCAGATTACCAGTCAAGGTTTAAGCTTCACTGAAAAGGGGTCACCCTTCCTGTGCCGATGGGAAAAACCCCACAAAATGTCCCCCACTGTCTCATTTAAAAACTCAGGAACAGACAGTTAGATACGTGCACATGCAGTAAATGCATAAAACCATCTCCAGTAGGTTGGTTGTGAGCAAAAGCATGCATTTTATATCTGCCTGTGTACTCTTTCCCTGTAATTGTATAACATTTTGCATAACATGATGCAAAACCATCCGACTTTAATCTCTCATCAAAACATATTTTCTTGCTCGTTGCTTTCATTCGAGTCTGACTGTGTCCTCATCTTTACAGTCCACTTCCAAGAGCCCTTCATATACCTGTCATTTATGAATCTTTTATTATCTATAATTCTTCTGGCTTGTTTCCCACAGACCACACCTTTCAATATCAACATTATTGTAAGTTTTTTAAATATTTTGCTGACATATTTCTAGAGTGTTTAACTGTGAGGTTTTCCTTTTGTTGATTAGTGCTACCAGAACCTCATATCAGATGTGTAGATTGATTTCAAGATTTATTTGGTGAATCACTGTATCCCTGTGTGGGTTCCAGGGCTCCATTTTAGATAGACTTACTGCTCATAAAAGCATGTTATAGGAGGCAAATGATTGGATCAAGACCAAAGTCCAGAAGTGGACTAACCACCAGAACTTTTTGCAGGAGTTTACAGCCAATGAACAAATGTGGCATGAGTGGATACAAAGCATCAGCATGCCAACATCACAGGGACTTATGTGGATATAATGTGTGGGATATGCACAAATGAGACATTCTGAAGACCATTTGTAAATGATTGCTCATAAAAGACATAAGTTTTGATGAAATAACATATGTAAGAATGTGTGAATGAGGAGTTGGATGCGGATCAGGAAAGGAGGGATGTATGAGAGGAAGAGGACACAGAGTTTATAATCAGTTTGACATGGGAACAGTTAGCATTTACACCTTAAGACATTTGCTGTGGGAGATGGAGCACCTATGGGTATGCCCATGTGCTGTGATGTCAAATCTCAAATCAATGAACTTAACATTTATTTTTATTATCTTTCAGCTAACCACTTATTGGCTGCCATATATCCGGTTTACACTGGGTGAAGATCATCGAACACCGGTTATTCTTGTAGGAAACAAAGTTGACATGACAGATTTGCAGACTTTAGAAGTAAGTGAAATGCACACTTGCATTCACCTGATTACATCAGTCACTCTTTTAGTTTTGAATCATTGAAGACATTGAGTAGCCAACACTTTTTGGCCTTTTACTTGGATTCTAAATTATGCTTTTCAAAATGCTGGATTAATAGACATAAATCTTAATCCTCACCGAGGTACATTTTAAAAATAAATTAAGGATTTTCTAAAATTGAATGTTTTGATCGGAAAGGATTGGATATCACAGTCTAGCTACTAACCGCAACACAACCTGCCAACCTCCCTTTAACAGGTGAATGCACAAGAAGTTGTATTAGCTTTTGTTTTGTTCTTATTTGAAAATCTCTCTGTGTAGGTTCTGAGGCTCCATTGGGGGGGGGGGGTGGAGGGGGGAATAGACCCACCCTCATCCCCCCAAATCCAAGGGTGGTTAATTAAGGTTGTTTCCTCTGAAGTCGGAGTGCATCTGCTGGGTCTCCATGGTGAGGTGTTCAGGCTGTTTACCTTATACTGTGAATGTCATGGGTTTATCTCACGGACTGTGTCTTCCAGTTCTGAGGTGTAAATTGTATGGAGATCCCTGGGGGGATCATGACTAGAGTATTGAGTATTTGCACAACACTGTCATTGGGTTGCTAGCCGTTACGTGGAGAGGGACTGAGCCATACGGGATAACATCGGGTGTACTGAAGCCAATCCTATCAACATCTAGCATGGGAATGGAGATTGTACCGTTCTGATGGGTGGAAAAAATCTCAGCCACACATGTTGCAATAGGATTGGATTCGCATGCTCAGGAAGAGGTGGAGCCAGATTTTCTTCGTTTGAAATGGATTACATTAATCCAGAGACTAGAGGCAGATTAGCCATAGACCAGGCAGACATTCAGAATGCTCTTGAAAAGTAAGATGTTTGTGAGAATCAAGTGATGAAGAACCAAGAGATGACTGTGAATCTGCAACCATGACCAGACTGCAAGAACATGTTAAAAGAGGTGTGGCCAGACAAGAGCACTATGCATGAAACCAAAGAAGAATGAGAAATCAACACAGATTGGGTGTCATCGTTCGATACACGCTGCAGGATTTACCAAGGAGGGGATCCGAGCACTTATGGACTGAATGATTCGATGTGCAGTGAGGATAATCTGTCAATATCTAACTAACTAACTGATAACCAACTAACTAGCTAACATCAGTCTAGAGGTCGCAGGTGATGAAAGTCTCTTGGATATTTTGTCCAGGCTGTTCAGGTGTGTTTGGGAATGAGCAGGCAGATAGCCTAGCTGGACTTGGAGGTGTACTGCAACTGCACAAGGCAGAGGTGATCTCTAGCCTGTTAGTTAGTTAGTCTTTCCTCTTGTGTCGAGTGCGGCACATAGGGCAGAGGTCGTGACTCTCCATGTACGGCGGTCCGTTGCAATCCGTTGTAGGTCTTGGATGTTTGAGTGGCCCATGAGCGAGCCTTCCCTGATGATAGTTCTACGTAGGGTTTCCCTTGGTCTTCCACGAGATCTTTTCCCCTGTGGTGTCCAAATGAGGGCTTGGTAAGGAAGTCTTGATTTATCCATTCTAAGGACGTGGCCGACATAGTTCCAGCGGCGTTTTCGTATAAAATTAGACACATACTCTTGCCTGGATTCTTGCCTTATTTGTGTATTGGTTCGGAAATCTGACCATTTGAAATTTAGTATTCTTCTAAGGCATTTATTTTCAAAACTGTCTAATTTTGTGTCTAGAGTTTTCGTTGATTTCCAACTCTCGCATCCATAGGTTAGTACTGTGGGACAAGGTAAAAAGTGAAATGGAGGATACTGAAAACCTATACCTGGAGAGGATGATACAGCTGGGAGTAGCTGTGGTCTCTGGGTGCCACTCGAGACGCAGAGGGAAGGCAAGACGAGTAGATAACCAAATGACAGCTGGCACCATAATTTTGCAAACTCTTTGCTGTCTGTTGAGGAAGATGGAGCTAATATGGGCTTGTCTTGCATGCTGTGATGTTGAATCTTAACCTAGATCAAATATCGACTTTAACCTATTTCTCATTAAGTTGGTTTTCCTTCTGATAATGCAAAAATATGACTTTTTAATTATATTTCAGAGTATACTTCCTATAATGAACGACTTTGGGGAAGTGGAAACTTGTGTAGAGGTAAAATTATTTTTGTTAGATTTTTTAAATGTTTAATTTCAGAAAGGTAAAGAAGAAAATAGTACCACTGCAGTAAGGATGTGAAATGTTAGGTCTTTGTATATTCTAGGTCGGGGCTATTCAACTTGCTGCCTGCAGGCCAAATCTGGCCCGGGGAGGCCTAGCAAGTGGCTCACAGATCATTGCCAGTTGCATTGTGTTAAGATCCTTCAGTGTTTTGGGGCTTCAGCCTCTGACCCATGGTGATCCCAAGTTTCTTAGTTTAAAGCCCTGTTCTGGACTGTGATGCTGTAACCACTTCCCTGCCTCATTGCCTTTTAATTTTCAGATAATTCCCAGACAATTCTCTAAACTGTCTGGCACCCATGTTTGTAAGTCATTGGTCAAGGTTCCAGCATCACTGCAGATGGGTTGCCTCGTAACTGCTCCTTTCATTTGGCAATGGAAATCACACAAAACGTCCTTCACTATCCTGTTTGAAAACTAGTGCAGAACTTATCATTCCCAGCAAAATATGGAAACTTGCACGTGGAAAGTAAAAGCTGTCAAATGTGCCAACACTAACAGTCCCACGCCAGAATTCACTGTTGATGCAAACGGTCGGCCACAAACGCCGACTTTGTAAAACTTGCAAGGATTAAACCTGGACTACTGCCACACCAGGCAAATGAGCTAACCACTGCACCACTGTTTGTATATCCCATTGATTTCATTTTGCTTTACTTTATCCAATTCCTTCACAATTTCATTATTGCTTATTGTCCAGTATTACCTTTTGTCATAGTAAATAAGAATAAACTACTTGTGTTCAGCTTTGCTTGCTTTGTTGCAGTGCTCGGCAAGAACCCTGAAGAATATCAGTGAAGTATTCTATTATGCCCAGAAAGCAGTCTTACACCCAACAGCACCTGTGTACAACCCAGATGAAAAAGAGGTAGGTATGGCTTATACATACCGCTGGCAATATATTGGGCATACCATGAGGAGAGACGGAGAAAGAATCACTTAACCGACACTGAAATGGAAACAAATGGACCGAGGAAACAAGGACGTCCAAAAGAAACCCTGAAATGAACGTTGATGAGGGGCCAAAGATGCTGGGCTGGATTCCATCGAATGTATTGAAACAGTTGCACAGGATAGAACAGAATAGAAGAATCAATTATGAACCCTCAACTATCTCCCCTGTTGACACACAAGCAGATACCTCGGAGTACTGAGTGAATCTTATCAGAACTATTTTTTGGCCAACACTATGCTATCAATGCCAAACGTGGACACTTACATCCTCCAGTGAACATAAAATTGTGACAACAGAGATGAAATGCCTTAGAAGAGCTGCAGGAGTTTCAAGGAAAAACAATACAAAATCATGAAATCAGACGAATGCTAGGAATAAAGCCAGTCTTACAGGTCATCAAAGAACAACAAATGAAGTTGTTTGGACACCTAACAAGAATGCCCTGGTACTATCTGCCACAGCGAGCCTCACTAAAACGCTACAATGGGTATAGAGTGAGTGGAAGACCTCGGAAAATATGGAGTGATAACATTAAGAACAGCCTCACAGAAATGAACATCAGTCTTAATAGTGCTCTTGACAGAGCTCATCAACGAACATTACATCTCCCCCCCCTCCCCCCCCCCCCCCCAACACTTCGATGAGGTACAAGGTGGAAGAGAAGAAGAAGACGAAGAATTATGAACCCTATGCGATGTATAGGGACACAACAGAATGATGATGGCTTATACATGGAACTTTGAAATGCATTTTTAGAATTGTGATTACCTTCAAGTCAGTCAGTTGCCATTTCCCGTGATGAAGGTGGGTTGCGGGCATTCTCTGGTTGTTAAAATTGCGTGTTGTTCACTCACTCAGACTGCTCTTTGTTGTTTCTCGATGTTATCTGCTCTCTTGTATCATTGTGTACCATTTGCTCACTTGTCCTCAGCTTTTCCTGTCGGTATGACCAAAATTTAACATAAGAGTGTAATGTCAGTTAATCTGGCTGACATTTTTTACCTGTCTCATTTGTATTTCTTTGGATTACACTCTTTTATCTTTTAATTTTTATTCCCACTTGGAAAGCTTGTTTTAAATAAAATAATTTGTGTAGAAGTGATTTTTACTGTTTTCCTCTGTTGAATCAGCAAACTTCTATGCCCTGGCATGTTTTTTCCGCAGCTGACACCTTTGGCAAAGAAAGCATTGACCCGCATCTTTAGGGTAAGTGATCAGTGTCGTTGTTGTTATTACCCCTGTGTGGGTCACAGGGCCCCATTTTTTTTTTTTTGCAATAGGAAATCTACACTTACCGCCTTCTTAACAAGCATTTCATAAAAGGAGACTAATTAAGATTTCAGTTAGATTATCGGGCCAAAAGGCTCATATACTGCAGCCTAGCTATGAATCATGACACAAGGTGCTAGCCACTCTGTTAATAGCAAACAAAGAAGAAGATACTGTCGTTGAACTGGATTTTTGTTTCTGATGGTATATTATGTAATGGAGCATGAGGTCATTATTACTATTTTACAAACATTTTTATTCATCTGTGTATTTTTATTCTTTATTTTTTTTTTTAAATTCTGATAATGATTATGTTGTGGTTGTTTGCAGCATACTTATGATATTTTTGCCTTTTAACAGGCACATCCAACTTCTTTAGACATTTGGGTTCTTTTATTTTATTTTACCCCATCTTGGGAGCTCCAAGATTTTGTAAGAAATTCCCCAGAAAGCCTAATATTATGGAAGGGGGGGGGGTGTTAATCTGTTTTTTTTTTCACACCATAACAACCCTATACTATTGGACTTTCCCTAAAATTCCCCTTTGAAGTCTTGGACTTAGAATGTATTAAAAGAATAGAACCGACATTTGTTATCTAGGCAAGCCTTCTTGCATTTACAAATTTAAGGCTCTTCCTTTTTCACACACTGTGTTTTATCGCTCACTCTTCCCTCCCTTGCTTTTGCTTTTTCTCTATATCTCCTTGTCTCTCTCTCTTCTATCTCTTCTCCTGCTGTTTTCTTTTTTATGATACAGAGACTGTTTATTAATCTCCTTTCCCCTATATCTTTCCTCTCTCATCCATCACACACAAGGCCCCCCCCCCCCCCCCCCCCATTTTTCTATTTTCTTTATGCTCTCAGTATTCTTTTCTCCCTCTCTCTCACCTCAGTATAGAGAGACAAGGTGGTCGGGAAAGTGGAAAATGTTTCTTAGTTGACATATCTTGTCATTCAGTCATGTTAAAGACTATTGATTCGTGCTCTTATGTTTCTTTCTTCATCACTTGCCACAGATATGTGACCTGGACAATGATAGTTTGCTAAGTGATGATGAGATCAACATGTTTCAGGTAAATTAACATGTTCTGTTTGTAAATCTTCTTTTTGTTCGTCTAAGTGACATAATTGCATTGTGCCTGTTTACACACAAAGTTGTGATATTTGTGGCTTTCGGCCGACACATCTGACCTTTATCGAGCATTTGTTGACCAGTTTAACTTTCTGGAAACTTTGCCTAAATTAAACAACTCAGATTTGTCTACAGTTTGTCGGTCTCAATTGCCACGGCTTAGCCCATTTGATTAATCACATATTTTAAATAGAAAGATCAAGTAGTAAATCTCAGACTTCCGTGGTAAATATGTGGTCTTTTGTGGACTTCCTTGAGGTGGGGGGGGATTATACAGTGTAACAACAGACAATGTGATTTGTGTATTTCATTTGAAAGTATTCATGTTTCTTGCTTCATTATAACTTAGTAGTAAAGTACCTTGATCAGATACATTGAAATATGTTAGGCATTCATTTGTGCAGTGTTTTGTTTATGGCCACATATTTAAATTCACTGGGTAAAAGGACCCTTTTTCGTGCCTTCAAGGATATTGGGTACGTAGGGTTAGACCTTTATTTTATAGACCAGACGGCACTGGGTGGGTGATGTGGGCAGCATCATGCCGACCACTTTTACTTGCCAGGACTGTACCTGGTACCTACTGAAGGTTGAGTTAACCTGAGAGCCAAGGTCCATCAGGATCCAAACCCACAACCTTCCGATCTACAAGTAAACACCATGGCGGCTCCCAAATTCACTGCAGGGAAACATTATTTTGAATGCAGATTTTTTCATAATATGAAATGACAGAAAGTTTGAGTCATTAGAGGCAATGTTTTTTTTTTTTTTGCAGACTCCTATAGAAAAATAAGATATAGTTTCTAAATCAGCACTGAATCATTTGTTTTAGCTTTAATTGAGTTTAATTTTGACTTCCACAGCTGAAATGCTTTAATGCCCCACTCCACCCACAAGCCCTGGAAGACGTGAAATCTATTGTGAAGAAAAATGTTTCAGATGGGATCATTAAAGATGGCATCACTCTAAAAGGTTAGCTGTTATATTATCATCAATAATGTGTGGCTGGTTGGATCTGTGGCTGTGACAGGTATTTGGGAGCGATATTGCTTCCCTGAGTGTTCAGCGTCTCAACAGATGGTGTAATGTGGAGATGTGTTTCTGGCAGACTATGGCTCCCAGACTGAAATTGGCCTGCTGAGCAACTTTTACTGGCCCACGAGGCTGGTGTAGATTGCTATTATAGATTGCCCTTGAGCTGGCAAAATAGCAGAACACAAAAATATGCACATAAAAAAAGAAATATCTGAATATCAACATCTCAAAAATGATAATCAGGGTTAATCACAAACTGAGACAAAATCTGTGATGTTTATATGACCCATGACTAAGTTGGTCATTTGAATTTGGCCCAGAGACCAAAGAAAGGTTAGTTAGTCGACAGATTATCCTCATTGCACATCAGACTATTCAGTCCATTTCCAAAGAAAAAGCTGCCCATCCCTGGTGTGGAGTGGGACATTGGAAACTGATTGGTTATTAGTGGTAAGATTTAAAGTGCAAGGGAGGTTGAATGAAGCTTATAGAGGATAATAAGCTTGAAGACTTTTGGAAAGTAGCCAGCTCACACTGAGTTACCCCAGTCAGGCAACATACATGCCACATATTTGGACACATTACAAAAAAGAGGTAAACAAAAACACTGTAACGGAAAAGTGGAAGGGAAATAGAGACAGTGGGAGGGAAGTATGCAGTGGGAGGGAAAAAGAATCAGTGAGAGGGAAATAGAGGCAGTGAACGATGATTCATGAGAGAGAGAGAGAGAGAGAATAGATAGTTTGGCATCATGGCATAGAAGAACATCTGTACCAAAAATTGTTTCTAGTAGACTAGACTGAGGGTTGTTGACAGACATGACGGCTGTATAAAATTAATGAAATAAAAAAAAAATTTAATAATTTTCAGTTTTGATTGCACGTGATGTCTCTCAGTATTTGAAGTTGAGTAGCTTAGAAAATCATCACCTACTTGTTCTATGTGCTGCTGCTGGTCATTTCATATGGTGCTGCTAGCCCTGTATTTTGTTAGATCACTGAGTATTTATGACATTTGAGTATCATCCTGGGTGATTTTTCTGGCACTTGGGTATGGTTGTTGGTGATCGGTCCATTCCATGACTAAGACAAGGAGAGTTTTTTTGTTGTAATATTTTTTTTTTTGCATTTACATATTTCATAATTTTTTTCAGGTTTCCTGTTCCTTCATACATTATTTATACAGAAAGGTCGGCATGAAACAACTTGGACGGTGTTACGCAAATTTGGATATGATGACAATTTACAGCTTACATTAGAATATGTATCCCCAAAGTGCGTATATTTTATTTATATAATATTCTAGCTAGTAAGTCAACTGGTTATCCTCAATGCACATCAAACTGGCTGACAACATTAGTTGTACTGAATTCTTATTCTTCTTCTCTTTGGCTTCCTACGTAGTGCTTTTGTCTGGCCATTTCCCTTTTAAAATGCTGTTCATGCAGTCTGATCATGGTTACAGATTCACAAGTCATTACTTTGTTCTCACAAATGTCTTACTTCTGGTAGAGCATTCAGTATATCAGTCTGGTCCATGGCACATCCTCCCTCCAGAGTAACTACCTGCAAGTCGATCATTTCCTTGCACGCCTGTGTGCCCTGGCATGGATATGAAACCGATGTGAGTCAGCTTCGACCAGTTTAAAGACTCTAACATCTGTCTTCAGACCCAGCTCATCTCTATCTTTCTGAGCATACCCATTGAGTCACTGAGAAAGCATGCGCCAGTAAAAGTCACCATATCTATTGAGCATCTGCATTTGTATTGAGGCTGTTTTTTTTATAATTGTTCTTTACTCCCATGTCACCCAGCCTAAAAAAGTTACCGGAATTTTCCTACAAAGTAAAGGTAGCCAGGATGATATTGACCACATCGCCTGTCAAGTGCTGGTCCAATTGATCTGTAAGAGTTTATGTCTGGCGCCACATGCCTAAGGTGTCAGCGGTGTGAAAAGGGTTCTCTATTTTACTGTTGATTTGTTGAATGTGTCCCAAACAATATTGCTAATTATTAATAACTGAATTTGTCTTTCTACAATTAGACTTTCAGTCGGACTTGGAAGTACTACAGAGTTGACAGCACAGGGATATCAGTTTCTGGCAAAGCTTTTTGACAAATATGATGAAGTGAGTACATCTCAATGTTCTTAATTCTTTCAGCACCTTATCTCTTTTTTAAATGTTATCAATCACTGTTGCTGGTTGGCACCTTTCCGTTACATTGCTGTATATTGAGGCATGGGATTCACAGCCTTGTTGATGGGGAATGTGACTAGCGAGACCAGCTCATGTTAAGAAAAATCTTCCACAATTAGAACATAAAATTTCTGGACAATTGTTGCCATCACATATATTTAACCTGACTCTTCTAGATGCCCAGCTCTTAACCTAGTTGACTTAACTCTTTCTCTCAGCTTGCATTGTTTTACTATAGAAAAAAGGAAACACCAGTATGTTTAAAAAAAAATATGCTGCAGAAGCTGTCGGAACCCCCCACCCCCCCTCCCTCCCCCTCCCCCAAGCTGTTGGCACAATAAGGGTTGTCATGTTAGGTATACACCACCCAACATTCGGCCTTAACAGTTTAACAAACAGGTAGTACTAATTACTGTTATATGGTAGCTCAGTCACATTTGACCACTTCATGTTATTGCTGTCAGGTGTGATGGTGAGATATTTCATCATGGAAACCATGCACCTAACAAAACATACTCAGTATATACACTTGACCTTTCTTTTCTTTTTAGGATAGAGATGGGTGCTTGTCCCCAACAGAGTTACAGAACTTGTTTAGTACCTGCCCAATCATGCCATGGGGTCCAGATGTCAACAACACAGTGTGCACAAATGTGCAAGGCTGGGTAACCATTGAAGGTTACCTGGCACAGTGGACGTAAGTATCTGATATATCATCATCTTTTAAAAATCTTAACTCTTGTCTTGTTAACAGATTTTAACTGGAAGAAGAAAAAAAAAATCTGCCAGTTACTCCATGTATTTTTTTTTTACTATAGCAGTGTGTGAAAGTAATTGGTCACCCACCGGTTTTAGTGCAGATCACAGCACAAAGCCATTTTGGGCACATCAGGGACAATTCCACATGAAATCCACAAACTCAGCTGTGCAGTGAAACCCTTGGAATCCTGGTCCAGAAGTGAGGAATTTGCTTCACCAAACACTAGCTTGAAACAAATAATTTTTCTTAGTGTCACCGGTATACCAGCGAGCTGCCATATTGGACTGAAAGTTGTTGACTATGCTAAATATTCTTCTTCTTCTTTAGTCGTTTTACTGTTTTCAGGTGTTTGCCCCAGTGTCGTGGTTTTTTATATTTGTCTTGCGCTTCTCTGGTTGTTTTGAATGATGGATTTGTTCATCGTTTTGCAGATTTCAACTACACCATTTATCCCTCTCTTTTTTTGGGTCTTTTTTGGGACCTTCCTCCCAGATGCTCTTCTATAAAAGTCTCATGCAGTTTGATCTGGCTGCATTCTCACTAGATGGCTGAACCATTTCATTCTTTGTCTGTCAGTATAATTCAGATACTGTCTTGTTCCAGCTTTCTCTCTAACGCTTTTATTCGTAACCTTTCCTTTCTTGTGTTGTTAGTGTCCATACAGAGACAGCTCATTTCAGTGGTAGTTATTTTCTGTTGTAGTGCCCTATTCGTTGTCCGAGTTTGGCACTGCTAAGTGTGAAGATTGGATTACAAATCAGTTATGAAGCAATAAATATTCTGAAGACACTGATAACATATCAGTCGGATGTCCGGAGACAGAAAGAATAAAGTAACTGATCAGTTCACATACTTAGGTAGTAATTATGATTGCCAAGGAACCAAAAGGAAATAAACTATCATACACATTGACACAGCAGCTTTTAATGGTCTAAATACAATACTGAACTCTAAATGATATAGTTTCTAAAGCAGATTATGTATTTTTAATTCCAGTATTATTCCAATTTTAAGATGTGCTAGTGAAAGTTTTGGGGAATCATTAAGGACATGGAATGAAAGTTAAATGTATTTGAAAACAAATACCTAGGGAAATCTGCTAAATTCATGGAATGAATCCAAGAAAGGTGAAGAACTAATATAAATTTCTGGACAATCCCTCGTATAATTAGTTAAAAGACAAAGAAGATATCGAAATATTGGAAACATGGTCAAATACAAACAAACAGACACTGACATTGGGAGGAATGAATTTAAGGAAACAAGGACGTCCAAAAGAAACCAGTGACAAATTGTTGAGAGAGACTAAAGGCACAGACTGGATTCTGTCCATTTCAAGAGGGTTGAAAAGAATATAATGGAATTGAGGAGTAGACAGTGAGCCTTTTTGGCATGTTATGGCCCAGCGGGATAATAATGATGATAATTATGAAGCTATCAGAGACTTATTCAGCAACCCGGTCATCTGTCCTGTTCGGCTTTTTCCTAAAACATGAGTCATGTTAGTTGTTGTGATATTGTCTGGATCATGGGCCTTGCCATGTTTTACGATGCAATCAAACTTTTTTTTTTCTTCTTTTTCCCAGTTCTCTACAAAACTTATTATTCTTGTTTATGTCTTCCTGTTTTAGGTTGACAACTTTGCTAGATGTGAACAGAGCCATTGAATTTCTTGCTTACCTCGGATATAACTACCTGTATGATAACCAACTTTCTGCAATACATGGTACTTATTTTTGTTCATTTGTAATTGAAATAAAAGAGCATGTTGGCCACTTTGGCACCATTGCATGGAATAACTTCTGTATCTGAGTTGATTAACAGTACCCAAGATAAGACCCGACAGATCTGAGTATTGGCACCACAAGCATGTACTTGAGGAAGTAATATTTCAACTATGAAAATGAAGTGAAGTGGCACAACAGGACAATGAAGGAATAAAATTAAGCTTGTTTTGCTTTGGTGGACACACTATATGTTATGCATTTTCTGCAAATGCTTGTAAAACTAAGTGTTGATTCCTGATTCCATTTAGCATTTAATCCAGCCAGTCGTGAACAAATCCACTATGATCTTCGGGTGAGTTGTTTGAGAGTCTATAGTCCAGTGGAAGTTCGGAGGCTGAAAAAAATAATTTAGTAATGCTTCTTTTCTAGTATAAAAAATATATAACTTTCACTATATAGACTACCCTGGGAAGTCTAGACAAGATGGGAAGAAATATGAAGAATATGAGAGTTTCAAAGATCCACTGAGAGTAGACAAAGTACAAAACGTCCTTCATCAACAGAACAATGGTGAGAGAGAAAACAATACACATACAAATGAACTGACCCTGAAGTAACTACTGCATCATATTCAATTATTGTGCCCTCGTGTGGGTTCTGGGTCTCATTTTGTGGGGGAGGGGGCTGGAATGGAGAATAAGCTCACTGTCCTACGAACAAGCATGTTGTAAAAGCCAACTAGTTAAGGGTGTTTCCTTTTAAGTCTTAAGTCTGAGTGCAAATCGATGGGCGCACACACAGTTTAAAAAAAAAAAATAGTAAAAAACTTTAGTTCTGGAACAAGACCATAGTCCAGAAGTGAATAAATAACTGGAACTTTTCGCTGGAGTTTACAGCTGTTGAATGCTGAGAAGATATATTATGTAAACTAACAAAGCAAAATATAAATAATTAATAAAGACATTATATTATAGAGTATGATACTTACCTGGAAAACTCTTGGAAGTAGTGGTAGTCTGAAGCAGTGCTGCATGTACATTGTAGTAAATTCAAGGAGCTGGTGGTGATATTTGTTGTTTGTTTTATTTGCCATCCCAGTGACACGTGACAAGAAAATTGACCTGGAGAAACGCCAGACAGCCAGAAATGTTTTCAGATGTCATGTTCTAGGCGCCAAATCTGTTGGAAAGGTTGATTTTATTTCATAATTGTTATGATTTTGTTTTCATTTCCAACTTCTTATTCTTCAACTTTCTTGTCATAATTTTCTTCAACTTCTTTTTGTTCGTCACATTCTCTTCCTCCATCTTCTTCTGATTACTGATTTTAGAATCAACATCATCGCATACCATGGATGCTTCTTCTCCTGTAGCAAATGTCTTAATGTGTATATCAGTTGGCATAGAAGTGGAGCAACTATTGTGTGACTCGTTTGCTATGAAGCTGAAACTAAGATTACCAAGATCAGAGCTATTAAGCTAAGTTTACTGAGACACCAAAATATTGAAAATGGGATGATCACAGGCCAGAGGCTAAAAGATTGTGAAAACATTGTTGGCAATAATGACGTATCACTTACTATGCCTCCGGAGACCTAGTTTAACCAGTGGGCCACCACTTAAACAGCCCTGGTGTAGATGCTAACTGTACTAATAGCACAATGGGTGTACACAAGTCGAACTCTCCCTCTTGTAAGTCCTTTCTGGCTCTGTCCACATTTAATGTTTCTTTTTCTTTGTTCACCAGCTGTAAGCTCCGGTTGAAAGTCCCGGTTGTTAGTCCATTTGGACTTTGGCTTTGTTTCAGGGCTTGAGTTTTGCCTGTACATCCATTTTACTGGCTTATTTGTGTGCAGTAGGTAGTTTCTTGGCGGTCACGCAGATGCACTCTGACTTCAAAGGAAGACCTCAAATAATTGACTCCTGCAACATGCTTGTTGGGGAGGCAGTGGATCTGTTCTTTTTTTTTTCTATAATGGGGCCATGAAACCCACATGGGGAACATTTAATTTATACAACCTTACATCTGTTGTTTCATCTAACATTGTATCATCCATCAGCTTTCACTCATAAAAGGTTTTCAGAATGTCTGTCCAAAATGAATGTGCCTATGACAGCACAATATCTGTTCTTTCATTATCTCACACTCCTGCCTTTCCTGCATGAGTTCCTGTAATTTAGATGTGGTGATGCTTGGTATCCACCCATGCCACTGTTGTCCATTTAAGTTGTCTGTTTAAGGCCTTCTGCAATGTTGACTGAGAATGAGTCACTATGATTCCTGGTTTGTTTACCGTTATCCCTTGAGATAGACCCTCAGCCAACTCATGCCAAGCCATAACAGCATTTGCCATTTCCTATGGTTCCTCCATAGTAGACCATGTAGTTATTCAATACTGGGAACTTTTGCTAAGCTAGCATCATGACCATGGCATCAAGAACAGCCTTAGGGAAATGAAGACCAGTTTATGCAATGCATTAGACAGAGCCATAAGATGATCCCCACGTCTCTCCCAACCTTCACTGAGGTGAACAGGAAATAAAGAGGTTCAGTTATTTGCTGCTTCCTAGTTGTCCAGTTTTTGGGATTGTGTCTGTATTCCTGATTATTACTTCTATGGAATATTGTCTGTTGTTGCTATCTCCATATGTCTCTATCTATCTGCCTATTTCTGTTTATTTCACTCTCTCTCTCTCTCTCTCTCTCTCTCTCTCTCTCTCTCTCTCTCTCTCTCTCTCTCTTTCTCTATCTCTCTCTCTCTCTCTCTCTCTCTCTCTCTAACTCACCCACATATTAGCCTGATTAGTCATTTTTACTCATCCAGTTATTTTGTTGCCCTTTTTCTTGATATTTTGTTATTTTTATGTTGTGTAATTATTGCTTTCTGTTTCTAGCAACTCAGTGTTATTTTTTTACTAATCCGTATCTTATCCTTCCTTATACAGACGGCTTTCCTGCAAGGCCTACTCCACAGAAACCTGCGCTATGTCGCCACTCTGAATCGACAAAATTTGTCAAATTTTACCATCAACACAGTCCAGGTTTATGGTCAAGATAAATATCTCATGGTATGTCAAGTGGTTACAAGATTCATTAATATTTAAAGCTGACATTGTAATTTTAGTTCAGTTATCAACTGACATCAAAGCACTCAAGACATTCCTGTAAGTGCTCCGTTCCTGTTTTCAGCTGCTGGTAGTGTTTCGAATACCGATGATACCAGTAGCATTTGTAAGTTGCAGTGCTCAAAACATCCTGTAACACTGTTCTGATTTTGGCATGCAGGGAATGAAAAATCAAAATCTGATCAACTGAGACAGCCATGCTAGACAGATTATATAACAATTTTGATAAAATTCATTCATGTGAGGTGCATATTTCTTTTGATAGTTTTATGAGGTTGATATGAAAAAGTTGCAGTTCCAACTTTCTGTGCTGGTAAAAACCACACAGTATAAAATGTGAGACAGACAGCAGTCCCAGCAGATTTAAGCAAGTCCGCACATGCATTAGCATAAGGCATCAGAGGTGTCTACACTAATAGTATGTCACTAGAATTACTGTTTGTTGTTTGAAGCAGCAGTCACAACACGCCAGCAGTATTCACATGTTTCTGGCTAACGCATACAGCCGGTTGCGTGACAACCAGAAACCTGTCACTTTCTGAGTATGCTTTTTACAACACAAACCACTGGATCACAGAAAAAAAGCATTCCACATAAAATCAACATCTTGCAGTAGCTGGTTGATGCTACCAGATGTCACCTTTACCTCGTTTGTGGCTCCATCTGGTTTCCTGCTGGGGTTTAAACCCCAACCTTCCACTGGATTATTGGAGAGACAAGGGTCAACTATGTGAAGTTGAGGTATGAACTTTAAAAGAATGTATTTCTGTCAACCACTAAATAATAATTTTTTCCCCATGTGGGATCTGGGATTCTATTTTTTTGATAAAAGGAGCAGACCTTTTATCCCCCAACAAGCAAATCATAAAAGTCAACTAATTAGACGTGTTTCCTTTGAAGTTAGAGTGCATCTGCCCGAGAGGCAAGGGGCCAGCAGTCTGCTTACAAATAAGCCAGATCTGTAAACTAGATGTACATGCAGAACTCAAATTCTTGAACAAGACCAAATTTCAGAAGTGAACAAACAACTCTGACTTTCTGCTAGTCTTTAGCTAAGGCACGCGAAGAAGAAAAGTTGACAGCAGCATGAGACTGACACGAAAATGCTGACATGTTTAATTAATGTGAGATGTATATTTATGTCGACAGCTGCACGAAATTGATATGATGATGTGTGAAATGCTGACCCCGACAGAGCTAGACTGTGACGTGGCGTGTTTAATGTATGACGTCACAAACCCACACAGTTTTGAATTTTGTGCCAGGATGTATTTGGTAAGTGCTGGGGCGTGCAGTTTAAATAAAATAAAAGTGCAGGAGAAACAAAAGATAATCAGAATAAACCAAGCAACCAGTAGTCTACTTTCTCTTGATGATATCTCGCTCCAGGATGTGGAGTCTGTTTGGGCAGTAATGTAGATAGAGATGGGGGGGACTGATAGAGATGTTTGTAATAAGTGGTGTGTGTTTCTTCTCGTTGTCTAGGGAGTGTTCATGCGTGTGTGGTGGATGATCTTCTCACACGCTCCACGTTACACAACTGGCACAAGCCGACACCGATGTGAGCTTACGAGACATGAGTTTATTGACGTATTCACACTTACATACAAGAATGTCCTGTCGGTGTCCTAGTAAACAGCTCTCGCACACAACTTCATGCAGCTTTCAGCGAGCAGTCTTCTTCAAGCATTCACGGACCAAAGTCGGCTCCCATGGATTCACGTTGAGATTCTGGCCATCTCACACACTGGCATGGTCGATCTCGGCTTCACACTTCGTCGGCAGGGTCTCCTTTCTCCACAAGCACTCTCACGTTGACATTCTCACTTTCAGTCACACGTCCTCTCACTCCAACAGGTCGACACCAACTAAACTTGACCAGAGTCAAGTCTGACTTATACCACGGGTTAGTTTCACGTGATAACACGTGGTGGTCCTTTACTTTTCACGTGGCAACCTTGGGTCGCATCATCATGATACCCGTGATAACTAATGGTCTTCACTTATCTCCAGATTCTCGTTGAATCCGAGTATCTGGACTATCTCGGTGTTTTATGTCAGCTTTGGGCCTTCCCCCCGACCATCCTAAACTGGGTGAAAATATCCCCCATTGCAATGTTGAAATACAAAAACAAAAATTAAGAGCAGTTCTCAAAGCACTATAGAATTGGTAGAAGTTGGAGGAAATTAAAACTAATACTAAACTCAAAATGTTTAATTGTAATGTTCAATCACTTTTACTGTATAGGGCAGAAACATGAAGAACAGTTGAAACAGTTGCTAATAAGCTACAGACATTTATTAAGTTGTGGCTGTGCAGAAGAGTGGGAATTAAATGGTATGAAGAAATCAGTAACAAACAATGTTGAGCTTTGCGAAAGAACTAAACAAAAATCCAGTAAATCATGAAATGAAGAAAACAAGCTGGTGTTGGATAGGACACATGTTAAGAAAAACCTGAGAATATTGTAACTTCCTTGCACTGGAAACCACAGGGGCATAGAAATAAAGGCAGACTAAAAAACATGAGAAGGGAGATAGCAAGGGAAGTTTAAAAAAAAAAAAAAAAATATATATATATATATATATATATATATATATATATATATAGATATATATAGGACAAGAGTTAACCTGCATGCCATAGCAAAGAATAGGACAACTTGGCCTGAGTTGGTTGAGGGCCCATGCTCCATTGTGGGAATAAAAGACAGAAGAAGAAAAGTAAAAGGTTATTTTCATGCCAGTGGTGCATAAGAATATGACCGATTGATTGGTGAGTTCCCAATGGGCTGCTTTCTGAAAGTTTATCATCCTCAGTTAGGATCTAAGACCAACAAGACAGATCCAAGATAACCCTGTTCAACTTCCAAAGAAGGCTAAAGGTGCTGCAGGCTAAGTCATACACACACATACAAACACAAATAGTCTTTCCATATGGGGATTTGTGCCAAAGACCATTGTACGTTTCGCAGACATGTCCAACTTCTTGTCATTTGCTCCTTGGGTAAGACTTCCTGGATAATCTCAATAAATAGTTAGCAGGAAGAATTTTGTCAGTAAAGGTAAAAAGAGCCAGAGTCCGTACTTTGAGTCATATTGGAATTACTGGTGTAACTCACATATTTTCTCGGACCAATCAGCACTTGATGAGTGGTGTGGTCAGTATCACCGTGGCTGCTTTGCTTCCAGTGACATTTCCTGTTGCTCATTTAAGATGGGTCGCTCTGGGGGTTGAGGTCAGATTTCTGCCTTGATGGAGATTCAAGCCGATCACCATTATGTCAGAAGGCAGACATGCTAACCATTGTGCTGCTGTTGCAATTATTTATGTATTTGCGACTTTCTGTTTGGTGTTTACATCTGAAGGCTAAAAAAAAAAAATTTCTTCAAGAAAAAATGTTTAAACAAAGCTAAACAGTAAAGGACCTGTTTCCACTGTGGGCTACCTTTATTTTTTCAGGTTATTTTCTGGTCCTCATATTTTGGTTGGGCCAACCTGGAAGTCTAGGCAAATTTTTTTTTTTAAATAATGCCCTGATGCGGATTCAGACTATGATTACCAAGTTGGCCAGCAAGAGAGCTGGTATGTGCATTACTACAGAGTTACATCAACATAAAATGAAGCATAAAAAAGTAAATCCTTTTCACTGAAATACACAGATCACCTTGTCTAGTTACTCTGTACATCTCTCGGCTGGAAATTCACGAAAACCTAGTCATTCGACTGTGATATGTAGCTGATAATGATTGTACCTTCATAGTTATAAACAACAGTCTCAATTGGTGTTTACTGAAACTGCAGAAACCATAACAATAAAAAAAAAAACCTGTGAGTCTGTTGTTTTGTGAAGACAACAAGAGTAAGTGGTGAATTTGAAATTGCTGTGGTAATCATGTGGCTAGTCTAGAATAATTATATGTTAATGTAACTCTGTAATAATGCACTTGAAGGTACAGCAAAATATGCCAGGCAGTAAATTGTGCATTGTATTGTCTGTATCTGCTTTATTTTAAAGAATATATATTGTTTTGTTATTTATATTTTGGTTTATATTTTTCTCTGAAGCAAGGCATCAAGAGAAAGTGAATTATTCCGCTTATTTTTTCTCCCGGCAGAAACATTTCATCGATTGCAAGATTCCAACACTTATAGTTGCAGCGAAAGCAGAGTACCCTGAGGTGAGGCAAGACTATGAGTTTACACCTGCTCAGTTCTGCAGCCGATTCAAACTTCCACCCCCTCAGCATTTTACCTGTATTGATAAAGTCAACCATGACATCTATGTTAAACTGGCCACAATGGCTGCCTACCCGTAAGTGCTTTGATTCTCAGTAGACGGTGTTTCTTGTTTATATTTTTATGTTTTCATTTGTTTGTTTTTTGTTGTTTTGTTTAGTTTTAGATGTTTGTTGTTCAGAATTTAATTTTACCATGCGCCATCATCATTCAGTCCTGAGGGGAGGGGTATGTTGTCTAAGGTTTTTAGAAGTTCAAAATAAAATTGTAACTATTGCATATATTATTGAGAAATCATACATAAACAGGTAATTTGTTTTCTGTTGTTTAATGTCACTAATTAGGTTAGTGTCTGATATCATTATATCCCTACAGACTAGGCATTTATTAATATTTGTAGTCACACATTGTGTATTAACCGTCAGCCAGTTCTTCATTTTAAAAGAAGAGAATCATTGATATGGCATACTCGTGTCTAGTACTCAACCATATTTTCCTTACTGCTGTCCCCTCTCTGTTCGCACAGATAGAATCAATCAGCATTTATTAATGCTGTACGTTCTAATTGAAAGACCTAGGAGGCTATGTATTTTCACACTGTTTAAAGGCATATAGAATTTTTGTCACATCTTCTAAAACATCAGATACATGATGTCAGCCCCACAATTTTTTTTAGACCGCTTGCTGCAGTGAGTGATATGGTCCACCTGATTTTGGATGCTTTTACTTTCTTATAATGTTTATTGGTACTCATTGTAGATTAGGTTGAACAAGAACAAAGGTCAGTGTTCACAAGCTGCAACAACATGAATTATTCTTCTTTTTAGCGTTCACTGGCTGTGAATTCCGGCTGGAAGTTCTGGTTGTTCATGCAGTGCTGGACTTATGTCGTGTTTCAGGAGGTTTGCCTGTTTGCCAGATCTGGCTTAATTCAGTGCAGACTTTCAGTTCATCGCTTCTCAGGCAGATGTATTCTGACTCTGAAGGGAATGCCCCACATTAGTTGCCTCCTAGGACATGTTTGTTAGGGGGACAGTGGGTCTATTATCTTCTCTCCCAAAATGGGGCCCTGAAATCAATAAGGAGACTGTGGATTTAAACTGATAATCCATGGATTGGCAGGCAGGTGCTCTAACCACACTACCATTGCTCACTCCCTTACTGTGTTTCTTCTTTTCCTCCTCCTCCTTCAGCATTCTGAGCTCTTGAGGGTTATTGCTGCTCTTATCACCCACCTCCAATTATCTTTTATGATTGATTAGCTTTCTCATTCCAGTTAGTGACTCCAGATGTTTGGAAATATAGCTGTATATTATCTCTGCAGCCTCTTTGTCTGCCGGTATGGTCTGCTCCCATTCACCTCTTATATGCGCACATTTTGGTTTACATTTTTTTTTCTTGTATTTACTATTCCTTCAGTATGCCCCAGCCATTACAGTCTGTTAGCCATCATGATGTTAGTATTTAGTGGTAGTTTAAACAGATTATGAATTTCATTGTTGCTTCTCACTCTTCGTTATTCTCTGCTGTTTTCGTCTTTGATGGGTCTCTTGCTGTATTTAGTGGAAATATAATATTTCAATTACTTAATAAAGTGCAAATAAAAATAATTGAATTTCTGGACTTTATACTGTCTAACATATTTTAGTTTGAGACAGACAAATAGTGGTCTGCTGCACAGTTTTAAATGTGTGCACTCTGAAATGTGAAATGCACACGATGCTACCTTATAAATTAAAGGCTTTTTAAGCTGTAAATTGTTTTTCAAGAATGTGCTGTATTACTGCTTGCCCATAACATTAGGGGTCTCTACCAAACTAAGTAAAAGAAGAGCATCAGTAATCTGACACTAGACTGATATTTTTATAGAACAATCCCCACAGGACTCCTACCCATTTTATTAGGCTGACTGACCTGAGAGCCAAAGTTATTTTCCTCCAAAAAATCTGACTTGATGCAGATTTGAACCTATGACCTTCTGACCCACAGGTCAGCATCTAGCTGCTACAGTGGCAGCTGCTTTCTACCCCTCTTCCTGCCAGAGTGGTTAGGCCAGTTTGTCTTATGCTGTGAAGTACACAAATGCAATTTTTGCGGAGATCTCTAGAGATAGTCACTGGAGCTGTGGAGTTCATACTTTGTGTGATGTTCTTGGCAGGCAGCTAGCTGTTCTGTAGGGAGAGGCTGATTCATATGTGATAGAACCTGGTGCAACAAAGCCAATCTTTTCAGCTTTCAGAACATTTTTTTTTCAACTTGCCCTAATGTCTTTTATAAGCTATATCAAGATTAATTAAATTGAGGGTGTACAGTATTTATTTTTCCGGTTTCATACGCCCTTTAATCTTTGCTTCCTTTGCTTCAGGTGTGGCAAAAATAATACTTACCATCTTTTGTGAACAAATATACTTTGTAAATATACGCATCTAATGTAGATAATAGAGTAGAAAGGTTTATATATTATTATCCAGAAAGTATTTACCAGTGTCCATAACCGAAACAGTCAACACCATTATTTTCTGCATGTGATAAACATATGTTTGTTTGTGTATTTAATGTTTTATAAAGTGTTTTAACTTTCTGCAGTTTTCTGCTGAATGTTTTGTTGACATTGTGATTTCTAAAGTTCTGTTGGGATTTGTGTCTGTTGTTCGTTGAGTAACTCAAACATCCATAGTATTAAGTATCAGCCATAAGTAGATGCTAGAAGAGCAGCTAGGGAGCTAGGGAGCCTGATATTGGTTTTATATATATAAGTATAGCATTAATGATAGCAAGTATTATTATATTACTACTACTTGCATTGGTGAACTAAATCCTTGGCCTTACTAGTTAACTCTGAGCATACCATGAACCACATAGAATGGCTCTGGGTCTCCTAAGAAGTATGTTCCTCATTCTCTTACTTAATGTTATCCTTCCACTATTAACACTGTCTATCTTTTGCTCACTTGCCTTAAACTTTTCCTTTCAGTATGACTTTTATCAGATCAGCATACTGTGGTGTATATTCTCCTTCATTTTCATTTAATATGGTGGTTTGCACACACTGTTGTGATATCTGCATCAATCGGCCCAACACTTAGGTAAACCTTTACTTAGCTGCCATTTATGACTTGTTTGTTGTGGGAAGTGGTTCTTTTGACACCTTGAAATTGTGGCCCAGTGAACCTGCACAGGGATTTAGGTGTATGAAACATTCAGTTATTTTGTGGTAAGAAATTACCAAAAGGCTTTTACAGTTGACTGTCGTATAAAACACATGTGGGCCATGGTTGCTAAGAGTTGGCTGTTGTAAACAGTTTCAAATGTTTTCCACTGTAAGGCACAAGGTATGTAATAATAAAATAAAAAAATCATGGTCTCAGTTTTTTTTAAACAATTTGCTTGTTTTCCTTTCCCTGCAATATATAAACATATTGGCCTTTGTCTTGTTGAGTCACCTGCCCATGAACCCCAGCATCTCAGCAGTGATGCAACATCGTGTGTTTGTGTGTTAATTGTTCATTTCAGCAACCTCAAGCGTCTGGTACACATGCTGCTAGTTCATCAGCGCCCACTCTGGCTGGAAGAGAGGATCAGGTTCCATTACTCTTGTTTTCCTGTTGTTGTCTTGCTATATGTGTGGATTTAGTATTATGGCCCATTCTAGTCAGCTTCCCCTTTCTGTTTGCTTATTGTAAAATGCACCTTTAAAAAAAAAAACTGAAAAAGACCATGTCACGGATTATGTTTCTGAAGCTGTTGGTAATTTATTGCAATTTTCAGAAAGATGCTAGGTTTTTTTTAATTGAAAAATATGTATAATTTTAAAGGTAAAAGAACCTTTTTTTTTTAAACATTCATTTTCATGTTGCGCATGGTTATATATGGAACAGTTTAACATTTAGAATCAGAAAGGGAATGAAATAAATAATTTAGTAACAATTGTCAGTCATAAATACTAGCAATTCATTCAAAAGGCTTGAAAATATCCTGGCGCACTATTTTAAAGAGTTGAGTTATGATGTTTTGTAAAAATGAAAAAAATCTGTATGTAGATCCTAAAATGAGTCATATCTGCGAGGAAATAAATTGCTTATTTTTTAATAGGAATATTGTATAAATAATTTTTTTTTCAGTTGGAAAAAGTCATTATTTTAGTTGGAGATAGTTAGCCTGAAAGGAGGAATGGTGTCTTATGGTTTCAGTATAATGTTTGTTTTCAAAAGTAGAATTCCTATAATTTTCTGATAGAGAGCAACAATGGGAATAAATTTATGCTGCTTCTTGTAATTGTTTCCCTAATATACACTAACAGTTTTGACTGCAGATTGCATGCTTGCACACTCTTGGGTGCTGGTTCCCAATGCTAAGATGTTGAATCAATAGTAGAGGAAAAAAACACTGTTATTAAAAGTCACAATTAAAAATGGCATACACGATTGTGTTTGTAACAGTTGGTTCTTCTTCTTTTTAGCCTTCATTGGCTGTTAACTCCTGCGGAAAGTTCTGGGTGTTCATTGATTTCTAGGCTTTGGTCTTGCTCTAGAACTTGAGTTTTGCATGCACATCTGTTTTACAGATTTTGCTTATTTTGTATGCAGACTATTGGTTCCTTGCCATTCAGGCAGGTGCACTGACTTCCAAGGAAACTTCCCTAACAAGTCACCTTGTACTATATGGTTGTTAGAAAGGCAATGGGTCAGTCTTCCCCTACACTAGAATAGAGTCCCAGAACTCACGTTGGGAGCAGTTTATTATTAAAATCGATGTTAATGTATTTGGGGCAAGCCTTTAGGTATTTAGTCACTCATTTTATCTGAGCAGATATCAGGGAATAACTTCAGTACTTGAAGCACTCCAGTCTAGGAAACTACCAGAATTGCAAACACTGCTGACACAACTCAGCCTTCAGCGAAGAGTTGTAATCCAGTGGATACCGTCTCATTGTGGAGTGCCTGGAAATGAGAAAGCTGATCAACTGGCAGGGAAGGTGTGACAAAAGTGCAGCCGGATGTACCAGTCACCTACCACCAAAAGAAAAGGATAATTAAATCGAGCAGGAAATCACCAGCCCCAGCACAAAATTAAAATTTAATTATAGACAGATCAGAACAAGTCATTATCCTCCGGCTCGGAACAAGGCACAACCGATTACGTAACTACATGTACACAAAATTTAAGATAGGCGAATCAGCCATGTGCACCTGTGGAAAAGTGCCCCAGACAGCAGAGCATGTACTCCAGGACTGCACTAAATTTGACACATTAAGGCAAACCTTTTGGCCAGAACGAACAACAGTGCAGCGTTAACTCTATGGAACACTGAATGAACTAACAATGACAGAGAAATTTTAAACAAGAGACAAAATTGCTGATATAGACAACTTATTTCAGGTGAACAAAAGAAGAAAAATTAGAAGAGAATTACTAAGTTTGCAGAACTATGAGTCATATATTTTTTAGTGATTAAAGTAGAATTGACCCCAGCCACGCACACCTCCATAAGGGTTTAATTAAATACTTTGTTTCAGTAGAAAATATGAGTAATTGATATCATTGTTTTCAGAATTCGTTCCTTTAGCTTTGTTTTCTTCCTTTGTAATTCTGCTAACACTGTATTGTTTATACATGTATGTTGTGTAACATGTTTTTATGGTATTAACACTGCTGCCCATTTTTCCACATGGCATGTTATTTATTGCATGCATTAACATACTTTTGTTGTTGTTGATTGTAACCCGTTGTCTGATGAAACATCTCTTAATGACTAACTTTGTGAATTGTTTCAGAAGACTTTTCCATATTATAAGCAGCTGTTGTTCGTCACTTTACAATATACTGTAGGCACACATATGAATTCCTACTCCACATAGGTCACACACAAAAAAGTATACTTTTCTTGCACTATACAGTTATCTCCTGATTTAGTGTCTAACCAGGATTTTCTCAAAATGAGGATTTAGCACTTGGGTGCCTTTGACATTGTGCAGGCCGTATTATATCTGTAGCTTTGTTTATCAACTTTATTATGCAGATCCTCATTACCTATGAAGTGCATTCATTGTTGTTATATAAATATATATGTATGTATATAAATAAATTATTAATAGTTTAAGGTAATCATGCGATAAAGATTTATCCTAGAGGTATGAACTGAAAAAAAATAAAAAATTTGGAAGTAGCTACCTCCCATTGCAATAATATCAGGAAAAAAACTATCTCTTTCTGTAATAAATTTTGTTTGTTATGTATAGACAAGCGTAGAAACTACTGTTTCAGTGTTTGCAGCTTTTCAGTAACCAGAAACAAAGCCGTTATTAATTCTGCTTCAACTTGCAGCTGTTCAGTAACCATGAAGAGAGCTGTCATTAATTCTGCTTCAACTTGCAGCTGTTCAGTAACCATAAAGAGAGCTGTCATTAATTCTGCTTTAACTACAGCTGTTCAGTAACCACGAAGAGAGCTGTCATTAATTCTGCTTTTACTACAGCTGTTCAGTAACCATGAAGAGAGCTGTCATTTATTCTGCTTTAACTACAGCTGTTCAGTAACCATGAAGAGAGCTGTCATTAATTCTGCTTCAACTTGCAGCTGTTCAGTAACCATGAAGAGAGCTGTCATTAATTCTTCTTCAACTTGCAGCTGTTCAGTAACCATGAAGAGAGCTGTCATTAATTCTGCTTCAACTTACAGCTGTTCAGTAACCATAAAGAGAGCTGTCATTAATTCTGCTTCAACTTGCAGCTGTTCAGTAACCATGAAAAGAGCTGTCATTAATTCTGCTTCAACTTGCAGCTGTTCAGTAACCATGAAGAGAGCTGTCATTTATTCTGCTTTAACTACAGCTGTTCAGTAACTATGATCTGTCAATAATTTTGCTTTAAATGCAGCTAATCAGCAACTATGATCTGTCATTAATTTTGCTTTAAATGCTGCTGCTTAGAAACTATGATCTGTCATTAATTCTGCTTTAACTACAGCTGTTCAGTAACTATGAAGAGAGCTGTCATTAATTCTGCATTAACTACAGCTGTTCAGTAACCATGAAGAGAGCTGTCATTTATTCTGCTTTAACTAGAGCTGTTCAGTAACCATGAAGAGAGCTGTCATTAATTCTGCTTCAACTGCAGCTGTTCAGTAACTATGATCTGTCAATAATTTTGCTTTAAATGCAACTGTTCAGCAACTATGATCTGTCATTAATTTTTGCTTTAAATGCAGCTGTTCAGCAACTATGATCTGTCATTAATTTTGCTTTAAATGCAGCTGTTCAGCAACTATGATCTGTCATTATTTTTGCTTTAACTGCAGCTGTTCAGAAACTGATCTGTCATTATTTTTGCTTTAACTGCAGCTTTTCAGTAACCATGAACAGAGCTGTCATTAATTCTACTTGAAACCGCAGTGTTCACTGACCAGAAAGAGAGCTTTTATTGATTCTGCTCAAACTGCAGCTGTTCAGTAACTATAAAGAGAGCCATTATTAATTCTGCTTTAACTTGCAGCTGTTTATTAACTAAAAGGAAGCCATTATTAATTCTCTTTTAACTTGCAGCTGTTGTGTAACTAGAAAGAAAACCATTCATAATTCTGCTTTAACTTGCAGCTGTACAGTAACCATAAAGAAAGCTAATAATACTTCAACAGCTGTACAGTAACCATAAAGAAAGCTAATAATACTTCAACTTTTACTTGCAGCTGTACAGTAACCATAAAAAGAGCCATTACTAATTTTTCTTAAACTTGCCGCTGTACAGTAACCATAAAGAGAGCCAATAATACTTCTACTTTTACTTGCAGCTGTAAAGTAACCATAAAAAGAGCCATTACTAATTTTTCTTTAACTTGTAGCTGTACAGTAACCACAAAGAGAGCTAATAATACTTCAACTTTTACTTGCAGCTGTACAGTAACCATAAAAAGAGCCATTACTAATTTTTCTTTAACTTGCCGCTGTACAGTAACCATAAAGAGAGCCAATAATACTTCTACTTTTACTTGCAGCTGTACAGTAACCATAAAAAGAGCCATTACTAATTTTTCTTTAACTTGTAGCTGTACAGTAACCATAAAGACAGCTATTAATGCTTCTACTTTTACTTGCAGCTGTACAGTATCCATAAAGAGAGCTATTAATACTACTTTTACTTGCAGCTGTACAGTATCCATAAAGAGAGCTATTAATACTACTTTTACTTGCAGCTGTACAGTAGCCATAAAGAGAGCTATTAATACTTCTACTTTTACTTGCAGCTGTACAGTATCCATAAAGAGAGCTATTAATACTACTTTTACTTGCAGCTGTACAGTAACCATAAAGAGAGCTATTAATACTTCTACTTTTACTTGCAGCTGTACAGTAACCATAAAGAGAGCCATTACTAATTTTTCTTTAACTTGCAGCTGTACAGTAACCATAAAAAGAGCTTGCAGCTGTACAGTAACCATAAAGAGAGCTATTAATACTTGTACTTTAACTTGCAGCTGTACAGTAACCATAAAGACAGCTATTAATGCTTCTACTTTTACTTGCAGCTGTACAGTAACCATAAAGAGAGCTATTAATGCTTCTACTTTTACTTGCAGCTGTACAGTAACCATAAAGAGAGCTATTAATACTTCTACTTTTACTTGCAGCTGTACAGTAACCATAAAGAGAGCTATTAATACTTGTACTTTAACTTGCAGCTGTACAGTAACCATAAAGACAGCTATTAATGCTTCTACTTTTACTTGCAGCTGTACAGTAACCATAAAGAGAGCTATTAATACTTCTACTTTTACTTGCAGCTGTACAGTAGCCATAAAGAGAGCCATTTTTTAGTATTGATTCTGTTTTAACTTACATCTGTTCAGTAACCAGAAAAAGCGTCATCAATAATCTAACCTCAAACTTCCTTACAAAACAGTCGCAGGCATATATGGTTTGTATAGATGAGCATATTTATATGGGGCAACCCAGAACAAAGTCAGGTACTGTTCAGCTCATTTGTGGCTCAAGGCCCAAACAATCACAGTGTCTGTGGTTTAACTGGACATCTGGCTTGAAGATTGCCTGTTTGAATTCCTGATCACAAATTCATTTTTGATTGTTGCAAACATTGACTGTTTTCATCACATGTGAGTTAATTAAAGTTATTTTCACCATAAATAGTAGAAGATGAAAGGAACCAGGGCTCAGTAGTTCAGAGAAACCAGGACCCCGTTGGTCAGAGGAACCAGGGTTCAGTAGGTCTGAGGAAGCAGGGCTTATTAGGTCAGAGGAACCAGGGCTCAGTAGGTCAGGAACCAGGGCTCAGTAGGTCAGGAACCAGGGCTCAGTAGGTCAGGAACCAGGGCTCAGTAGGTCTGAGGGACCATGGCTCAGTAGGTCAAAGGAACCAAGGACCAGGGCTCAGTCAGAGAAACCAGGGTTCAGTAGGTCTGAGGGACCAGGGCTCAGTAGGTCAAAGGAACCAGGGCCCAGAAGATCAGAGGGACCAGGGCTCAGTCAGAGAAACCAGGGTTTAGTAGGTCTGAGGGACCAGGGCTCAGTAGGTCAGAGCCAAGTTGCTGTGAAATTCTCCCATAAGCCTTAGTGATGTAGGAGAGGGTCATGGCATGAGTCATTTGATTTTTTTAAAGCATCAGGGAATGTAACTCATTTAATGTTTCACCCTCTTTATATTTATTGTTTACTGATGTTATATGTTGCGTTTTTTGGGGGAATGTTTAAAAAAATAATTCAAAGTTTATAACCTTTTTTTTTAAAAGCAAACTTTTAATGGGGTTCTATCAGGTTCATGACATCTTTTTTAGTATCCCCAGGGCGAGAGGTTTAAAAACTCACCGCATGTTCAAGCATTGTTAAAACAATTGCCTGGTAGTTAAGTACACCACAACGTTGGACAGTTACATGATTGATGCTTTCATTATTGCACACGGATGCTTCCTCCTTTTTAATTGTTCTTCACCAGCATGTCTGCTTGTTGTTGTTGAATTAACACTTTTAATTAGGCAGATACTGAACACTTGTCTTGGCTTTGATCTGTTACCTGTAATTGCATGAAGCCCTGTCATTAGCTGTGTTTAGTGGAGACAGTTTTTTCTGTAAAGTTAATATCGTGTATCTATATTATATTGTTTGTTATTATGTATATATCATATCTGTTTATATTGTATTAAAAAGTATTATTAGTGAATAGACATTAACAGTTTGTATGCACAAAATCGCTCAGTGTTTTAGTTACAAAAACTTTGACTTTACTATTTTGTACCAGAACAGTTCTTACCAAGACAGCCACAATGATCTACACTGTCTTCTGTAATATTAGCGGTAGTTCCAACATTGACCACATTACCAACTGAGCACCGATTGGTCTTTAATATAGGTCTAGCCCTTCATGCTCAAGATGCCTGACGGTGGGAAATATGGTCCTCTACTTTAGTTCCAGCTTCACAGCAAACTGGTCATCCCATAACTGCTCCATTCCTGTGCTGGTCAAAACAACACAGAATGCCTATCACCACCCCTTAAAAGCGTCATCAATAATCTAACCTCAAACTTCCTTACAAAACAGTCGCAGGCATATATGGTTTGTATAGATGAGCATATTTATATGGGGCAACCCAGAACAAAGTCAGGTACTGTTCAGCTCATTTGTGGCTCAAGGCCCAAACAATCACAGTGTCTGTGGTTTAACTGGACATCTGGCTTGAAGATTGCCTGTTTGAATTCCTGATCACAAATTCATTTTTGATTGTTGCAAACATTGACTGTTTTCATCACATGTGAGTTAATTAAAGTTATTTTCACCATAAATAGTAGAAGATGAAAGGAACCAGGGCTCAGTAGTTCAGAGAAACCAGGACCCCGTTGGTCAGAGGAACCAGGGTTCAGTAGGTCTGAGGAAGCAGGGCTTATTAGGTCAGAGGAACCAGGGCTCAGTAGGTCAGGAACCAGGGCTCAGTAGGTCAGGAACCAGGGCTCAGTAGGTCAGGAACCAGGGCTCAGTAGGTCTTGAGGGACCATGGCTCAGTAGGTCAAAGGAACCAAGGACCAGGGCTCAGTCAGAGAAACCAGGGTTCAGTAGGTCTGAGGGACCAGGGCTCAGTAGGTCAAAGGAACCAGGGCCCAGAAGATCAGAGGGACCAGGGCTCAGTCAGAGAAACCAGGGTTTAGTAGGTCTGAGGGACCAGGGCTCAGTAGGTCAGAGCCAAGTTGCTGTGAAATTCTCCCATAAGCCTTAGTGATGTAGGAGAGGGTCATGGCATGAGTCATTTGATTTTTTTAAAGCATCAGGGAATGTAACTCATTTAATGTTTCACCCTCTTTATATTTATTGTTTACTGATGTTATATGTTGCGTTTTTTGGGGGAATGTTTAAAAAAATAATTCAAAGTTTATAACCTTTTTTTAAAAGCAAACTTTTAATGGGGTTCTATCAGGTTCATGACATCTTTTTTAGTATCCCCAGGGCGAGAGGTTTAAAAACTCACCGCATGTTCAAGCGTTGTTAAAACAATTGCCTGGTAGTTAAGTACACCACAACGTTGGACAGTTACATGATTGATGCTTTCATTATTGCACACCGATGCTTCCTCCTTTTTAATTGTTCTTTACCAGCATGTCTGCTTGTTGTTGTTGAATTAACACTTTTAATTAGGCAGATACTGAACACTTGTCTTGGCTTTGATCTGTTACCTGTAATTGCATGAAGCCCTGTCATTAGCTGTGTTTAGTGGAGACAGTTTTTTCTGTAAAGTTAATATCGTGTATCTATATTATATTGTTTGTTATTATGTATATATCATATCTGTTTATATTGTATTAAAAAGTATTATTAGTGAATAGACATTAACAGTTTGTATGCACAAAATCGCTCAGTGTTTTAGTTACAAAAACTTTGACTTTACTATTTTGTACCAGAACAGTTCTTACCAAGACAGCCACAATGATCTACACTGTCTTCTGTAATATTAGCGGTAGTTCCAACATTGACCACATTACCAACTGAGCACCGATTGGTCTTTAATATAGGTCTAGCCCTTCATGCTCAAGATGCCTGACGGTGGGAAATATGGTCCTCTACTTTAGTTCCAGCTTCACAGCAAACTGGTCATCCCATAACTGCTCCATTCCTGTGCTGGTCAAAACAACACAGAATGCCTATCACCACCCCTTATGAAAAATATTGAAATAGACTGCAATCCAGTTGAAGTCAGTTGCTAGAATTGCCAACACAAACATTGTGGCAGAGGAGCCAGGATTGTCTAGTGAAAATATTAGGGGAGTTTTTTCTTTCTTCAAATTAATTCAAGAAGACTTCTTTGTGGTAATAACAGTTTTAAGGATGCTAACGGGAGGATGTAGTGTCAAGCCTTTGGGTAATATAATCCACAACATGACTTACTTTGACCAGTTTTCTTTCACCCTTCCTTTCCTTAGATAACTTCCATAAAATTCTGAAAATTGTTTGGTACTTTGAGGCTGGAGCGATCACAAAGCCTCGCTGGTATACAAAAATATATCAGTCTTCAATATGAAGTTGGCGAGTTCTCTTCCTTCCTCCCTTCCCTAAATGACAGATTACTGCCTTTATTGACCACTTTTGCAGTGTCAGTTGGAGCATATTTGAGCCTGAAGATTTAGGTCTGCATGTCTAGTGCTGTCACCAGGGACTGCACAGGGCAGGATTTTATTTTTGGCATTAGGGAGAGAAAAAATAATCTATGATCTTACCAAGATTTGAATCTGTATTTCTCGCAGGAGAACACAGTGTTCTTAACTGGTCAGCTAGCCGCTCCTCTGCTTTCCCTTACCCAAACAACTCACAGAAAATTTATCAAATTGTATAGTACTCATTCGATGAGTCAGGGTGGATACCAGGCTTTTGCTGGCACGCGCGCGCGCGCTCACACAAATTTATTGTAGCCCACAACATGAATATGTTGGCCAGTTCTCTTCCTGTCTCCCTTCCTTCACTAAACAATCTGCGTAAAATTAGGGAAATTATCAGATACTTTCCTGAATAGGCTAGATTGAAAAAATCTACAGTATGATGGTATGCTAGGCAAAATAAAGCTTGGAACAAAATGATCGGCACACAGCGCTGTGCTAAGTTATGTAGCAATTTCATCATATTTAAATTCTTATCTCTGGTTTTTTTTTAATTTTTATGTAAAGCATTCTGGCTTTAATTGTTAAACAGTATGTCAGTCTCATACACATTCATTTCATTTTTTAAGGAACATTAATGTGTGTGTGATTGTATCTCTTTTAAATGGCTAGTAAGCTGTGTTTTGCTAATAGAATGAATTACGGTATCGCCAGATTTTGTGTGCTGAGCACGAACTGTTTTGAAAGCTCTGCTCTGGAGTTTATACACCATTTTTATTTGTGCTATACTTAATATGTTAATATGTATATTTGACTGTTGTTCTCTATTTTCAACAGGCACATGAAGGGTCTCTTTCAATCAGGTTCCCAAACATACGTCCACATTGGCATTGGGCTAGCACTTGCTGCAGTGCTCGGGTTTGCAGTCTACAAGATCTCCACATCATCATCATCCTCATCTCCAGTGCGCAGATGAGAGGCCAAACAGGCGTATCTGATATTCTCATAAACTTGATGCAATGGTACACTGACTGACATTTTTCTTCAACCAGTGAAATATTCATTGTGGAAATAAACACTTTTATAGTTTTGTGTTTATACAAGGGAGGGAGTGTGATAGTGATTTGCCTTGCATATGATGCAGTTCTGGGATTTACAGTCTACGCTTGATTATTCTCTGTTGCTGGTGCAGATACTTATTTCTTCTGCTACCTTTGGTTACTGGTTTATTTGTACTGCTAGAGTTTCTTCAGGTCTACAGACAGAATGAGTCAATCATCACCATGTAGCAGGTCCTCTGCAGAACGTCGCTCTCATCACAGTCTGCCTGAAAGAAACTCAGACTCTCACCAGCTCTCCTGCCTCATGTACTTTCATAGTCAAGGAGTCAGTTATATCCTGTGCCCATCTTTGTGTTGGTCAGCTCCTGTGGCTCCTTCCTGGTAACATGCCTTCGGCTATGTGTTTCTTTTCCAATCTGCTATGACCACAATATTTTAGCTTCCGAGTCAAGATGCTGTTTATAAATCAATCTTCCTTGATGTTCAGATCTTTTAAAACGTCATTATTTCACCTCTTCTTTGTCCATGATATTCTGAGAATCTTTCTGTAGCATTTCAGCTCAAAAGCCCCTGAATGATTCTATAGCTAGAATTTATTCACATCTTCTGAAAGAATTATTCTATAACTGGATTCTGTTATAATCTGTGGTTGGAATTATTCTACGGCTATTAGTTTGCCACTTAAAATTTGTATTTTTTTATGGCTAGGGCTGAAATATTTAAAGTTCCCTAATGCCTGTAATTGTAACTATCCCTACAGCTATACTTTTGAAGCTACAGTTTAAATTATCTTGCCAGATAGTCTGTGCGCATATTTCTGCTTCAGGACATTTGTCACATGATCTGTGTAGTTCTGTTGCCATGGACTTCATTGCCTTCTCCTGGTCAAGCCCTCATAACTTATCCTTAGCTTGGCAACTTATCCTCATCTTGGCACCGTCTGGCCAGGTCTGCTATCACAGCAGTCAGTAATTTGTGTAGTTTTGATGAATGTCTTCAGGGTTGTCAGTTCCAGTTCAGTATCAATATTTCTGTATCTAGTTACATTGAGACAGTTTTAAACACTAGCATAAGGTGACTTGAGGATGTTAGTATCACAGTTTCAATACCCCTCATACATTGTACATACTGGATAATTCCTGTCTTTAGGGTTGCGATTTAGCGTTTATGTTTATTTAAGGTCACCCTGCTAATAAGATAGTGTTGGATATAATCAGATTTATCCGTTTCCAAGGGTGTTCTTTGGTTCTAAATTATTTAGTGAAGGCTCTTGGTATAAAAGGCATTCTGAATCATATTGACCCTGTCCTCACTGTTTCATTGTTTTTTTTTTTTTTTACACAAATAAGTTTAGGTTGCTAATTCCACAGAGAATTTATAATTATTCATGTCCCATCTGTACACTTTCTTGTAAACTTGTTATAACGTTTTATTTAAACAATAAAATTAGTACAGTGATGGTTAAATTAGTCATACTGAGTCACATGTTATGTTATCACAATCGACATCCTAGCACGTTAGGCATTCTCACATGTGCTCAGTCCTCGGATGCAGCAGCCACTCCAAAATACTTCTACTAATTGTTCCTGTGAGAGGTTGGTTTTAGTGTCTCCTGTCTTTGCCTTAGAGGTGGCAGAGACAGGCTTCACCATGTTTGCCTCAGGTCATACAGTCATATTAGTGTCAGCCATTCGTCATTATCCACCAGCTTAGCCCATAGAGTGTTGATGATTTCAGCATGTGCTGGTGCCTTACTTGCCCATCGGTCTGCTTGTTTTTCTCTTCTTATTCCTGTATGCCCTAGTGTGTAGATCCAGGTGTAGGAGGTTAAGTGCAACTTCCAGATGTTCTCTATGTTCTGAAAAATATCTTTTATAATTTTCCAAGGGCATTAATTATACTGGCCTCCCCCCCCCCTTTTTCCACCCACAAAGGCTTGGGGGGGGGGGGGGGAGCACTGACAAATTACAGGTGCAAGACTTGAAGTGGATTAATACAGTGGATTTGAGCGCTGAAGAGGCCAGATTTCTTTAACAGGATTCAGCTAAATACGTGTAGATTGGAATTCATGCAAACGAATCCTCCACAGGTCAGATTTTACTTGGGGCTGATGGTGTTAATTAGTGATTGGAGCTAAAACTTAGGTCACTGTGTCCTATCAACTTGTATAATATGTGGAAGATGGGTAAATAAACACTGGTGATTGAAGGTAAACCTGAAACTGTATCCTACTAACTTGTGAAGAAAATGAATTAGCAAGCACCATACCTTAGGGTTGAAGGAGTTGAAATAATGCATTTCTCGTATCAACAACAACAACAAAGTTCAGACTGATTGTATTCCATGTTGATCCAGGTACCAGCAAATGTTTTGGGACGTAATGGAAGCAGGCATGGTATTGATAACATCACTCAGCCGTTGCCAGTTTGGTTTCTGAAAATATGTCCCAAAGGCCTTGAGCTTGGATAAGAAGATTTGTGTTTAGAATTGTTAACCAAATAATGGCAGGAAAAAGCCAAAAACTTCAGATGTCCTACAACATATACCATGTTTAAAAAACAAAAATAAAACACTCAATGAGATTCACACAATTACATTACTTCAGGCATATAAAAAATACATTTCCCTGTTAAAGGGTGTACTGGAGGGAATTATAGTATACACGTGCAAAAGGAAGACAGCATTACAAGTAGGTAGTCTTCATCAAGAGATAGACTGGAAGCACTGGGTTTGATTCCATCACAGGGAAAAGACTCATTGCTGCAGATGTTCTGTGCTACTTTGGCAACGGATGATGACTGACAAAGAAAAATTATGAATCTGGTAAAAATGTTTCTTTACATCTTGGACTGTATCTCCATGGACTTCATGAGAACTTGTTGCTCTTGATTAGTTATCTACAATGAGCCTCATTTCAGTTTACAAAGGGTTCAAGATTCTATTTTCATTTCATGTTAGGTTTTTTATGCTAAGCTATATTTTAATTTTATTTATTGATAAAGTTGAGTTAAAGACCCTTTTTTATGCCTTCAGGTGTATTGGGCATATAGGGCTAGATCTATATTTTATAGAGCAATCAGCGCTCGGTGGGTGGTGTAGTCAGCATCACGCCAGCCACCTTCACTTTCCAGGATTTTACCTGGTATCCATTTAGGGTTGGGTTGACCCTAGAGGCGATGGTCATTTTTAAAAAAAAGTCTGGCCGCGTTAGGACCTGAACCCACAACCTTCAGATCCGCATGTGATCACCTAGCCGCTACACCTTGGTGGCTCCTAATTACTTAACAGTAGTCAGAACAATTTCTTGAGGTCTCAGAGATGTAATTTTACAGAATCTTTTAAATTCCTTGGACACCCCCCCCCCCCCCCCCCCCCCCCCCCAAAAAAAAACACACACAACCCCAGAACATATTATGATTACTGGAAAGATCTGTGGGGAAAAAGAGACAGAGGAAGACAACACAAGACTATTCTTGACAGTCTTTTGTTGTGGCATGGAGGGATGTCACCATCCCAGCTGATAGATGCTGCTGATCTCAGATTGAGGAGAGGCGTGATCGCCTACGCCAGTCGACAAGACACTTATTGATGGTGAAATATTCTCAATTAAACATGTGGTCAGAATCACAGCGGTACTCTTGTCCATCAACCTGTTTGGTAGCCATTTGATAAAGCTGGAATAATTTTATGACCATTAGTTCACAAACAAACAACAATTTCAGAACACCCTTGCCCGATAAGACTGCAGGTCACACCTGGCTGCTGTAGCCTTTATGGCTGCCCTTATTATATCTTCTTCAGAGGTTGACAAAGTTACCTGGGATCTACCTTGTTTGTCTGCCTTCCAGATTGAGATTTTTAAATCTAAGGATGATATACTAAATCTTTGTGTGGCAGCCCAGAGGAGACAAGCTGATCGATCGATCAAACTTTATAAGAAAGATTTAAGCACATGGTCACTAAGCTGGCGTTTAAGAAGTCACTGGGTTACCTCTACTCTGATTACTCAGGACAGATCAATATTTGTTCAGCGTTCATCAGCCATGTCAGAATGTAGAAATGGTTAATATTTTGGTGATGCATTAATTGTGAACATGTCTTCATTGCCCCCTTCATGTCTTCTTCTTCTTGGCATTCAGTTTCTTATGCTCAGGTCGGACCATCACCTGGGTGCTTCTGTGAATTAGAAAGCAGGTCCTACATGGCTCCCCATAGCTTGGCACACTGCTCGTGTGGTCGGGTTTCTCTTCATTTGTGAAATTATAGAGGACAGGCCTGCAGAATGTCCACCTATGTGGGATCCCGCATTCCATGGTTATACTAGATTCCAGCAGCTTTGTTTCTGCTTCAGTTTGCAACAGGTTGTCTACACTCCCAATACACAATATAGGACAGCAGGTTGATTTGTGTGTATGGTTAGTATGGTGCCCAGTTATATCTGTTTTGTATGGTTGAACAGGGTTTCTGGAATTTGTCTCTGTTGGATTCCCATCTGAAAATAGCAGTTGAATCACTAGATGTTAGTGGCTATGTCATATATGCCCTAAGTGCAGTGTTGATTATTTTAGATCTGGCATGGCACCAAAGTCAATTCCCTCAGATCTGGCATGGCACCTTTCTTATGTAAGTTGTTGCTTGTGGACAGAGACTACTTTCCCTCAATATTTACACTGACCAAAAACACACACATAACTATTTCCTTTCTGTATCCTTTTGGTCCTAGAACTTGGTAATGGGATTCTTTTTATACAAGTATCCTTTCGAGCATATGATGCTAGGTTCATTTTTTATTCACCACTCAGAACTCTGGAGATGTCAACATCCCATTGGCTGATTTTACTTCTCAGAATTTTATCTAGACCCATTATTTTAGGCTAGGTCGACCTTGGAGCCAACATGACATTTGAAGAAGAAA